TTTTTATACCAAAGAGCCTTGCGCGCCTAGACGTGCACGCCGATGCATTATGTTTTAGAAACCAAGCAAAATCCAGGAGAACTATAATTAATCTGCCGTCCAGTTTTAAGAAGAACTCTATGATCCATTCCCTTGCAATTTTTGACAGTAATACAGAGTTTCAGATGTAGAAGTAAAAGACCATACCTCCACTTTACTTTTAAACCTACGTTTCCCGCGCCTACGCACATGTTGAGAGTAGCATTTGTTTTTAAGAGCCAGGAAAACCATCGACTGTCTTTTTTCTGATCTTTGCGAAAAACTCCATAAACCACTCCATCGCTAGTTTTTATAGGAATCAAAATTTCGAATGTAGAAGCAAAGAACCACACATCCCTCTTGACATCATCTTTTTAAACTAACCCATCCCGCGAGTACGCACATACACCGTATAGTATTTCCTTTTTAACCCAGAACCAAGCCAGGAGAAACATCATCTCTCTTTGATTCAGTTTTCGAGAAAACCCCCATGATGTGTTTACCAAATCACTTTTAGCAAAACCTAGAAGTTTTTATAAATAAGAGAGAAGAACTGTCCCTCCACTTTCACGTCATACTTTTAAACCAACCTGTCTCGTGCGCACGCACATGTATAGTCGAAATGTGTGTTTTAAAAACCAGGGAAAAGCCAGGAAAACCATGGCCGTCTGGTGACGAATTCTTTTGAAAAGGCTCATAACTTTCTTTAGAGTAACTTCCAGTAAAAACCCGAAGCTCTTGTATATAAGAGAGAAGAACCGTCCCTCCACCTCTACATCTTGATTTTTGAACCAAGGCACCCGGCCCACCCGCACATCGAATGATCTGTTGGGCCTTTTAGAAAGTAGGAAAGCGGGGAAAGCCAGGACAGACATTGATCTTATGGTTGTTTATTTTAGAAAACCCCATACCTGCCAGAGTTGAACTTTTTAGAGATATCAGAGATGTTCTACATAGGAGGGAAGAACCACATGTCTAACTCGTCGTTGATTTGTATGCACCGGACCCGCGCACTACGCACGGACGTACAAATAGAGGTCCCTTAACTTCTCAGAAACGCAGGAAAGCCCGAACATTTACAAGAAACGGTGGAGCTTTCTTTTTAGAAAATGACATACATGCTGGAATTGACTTATTTAGAAATAGTAGAAATCTAGTAGGTAAATGAGTAAAGAACATCATTTCTTCGTTCTTGTGCTTTTATACTCCGACAACGCGAACTACGCAAGCATATGTTGTCATAAACTTTTTTTAAAAAAAGCAGGAAAGCCAGCGAAAATATCGATCCAGGCTTTACACATTTTAGAAAACCGCATACAAACCAGAATTGACTTGTTTTGGATAAATTATCAGTTGAATAAGTAGAGGAAAGAAGAAGAACATGTGCGTGGCTGTGTGGTGCTTTTGTACACTCACACACCGTACCGCGCAGGCACAGCACTATAAAGTTTTTATTCCAAAACGCAGAGAAGCCAGCAAAATCATCAATATTTTGGGTGTAGATTTCAGAAGACCATAAACTTGATTAAAGTCCACCTTTTAGGGATATTGAAAGTTTGGTAAGTAAAGGAGTTGTTAGAACAAGGTCTCCTCTGGTGGTATGACTACCATAGGCGACCGAGTAGAGGTACGAAAGGTAACCCTGTATTGGATTGAACTTCACTAAGAGCTATTGTTCTATCTACTTGTTGTTATGATGATCTTAGGACGTACATGACAGATCATCATTCCGCGTCGGTCCTTCTGCTCGGGCTTACTCCACGAACCTCACCTCGCCGACCTGGACTGAACCTAACATATTCTTAACAGGAGTAAAGAGCACCTTCAAGTCACCCTCGTACTTTTATACACCTACCGCCCCGAACACCGTGGTGCGAACACAGGTCGGTTGAATTTTTAAAAACGCAGGAAAGCAATGACAGTCATGCGCATCATATGCGCTTATTTTAGAATTCCCATCCGCTTCTTCACGGCAGGTTTTAGTAAATGCCAGGAACTTTTGTATATAGGAGGGAAGAACACCACATCCTTATCATCATCGTACTTTATACACGCACACCCGGACACCACGCACGGACATCACTGCTTTCGAGGTAGTTTTTCGCATATGTGCTATTCGTAGCTGTTTTTTCCGAGAACCCCGGACATGAATAACCCACAACGTATTTTTAGTAAAGTAAAAAAAACCGGGAGTAGAAACGCCGAGCCATGTGAGTACCGAATTTGCTTTTGTATTTTCGCACATGCGGACCGTAAATATAGGATTTCAGATAACCCCGGACATATGTGATGTCGTTGTCCATTTTTGGTAAAGAGGAAAACTGGGAGGAGAGAAACGCCGAATCATGTTTTTGTTTCTTTTGAATTTTCGCGCGTAAGAACGAGCGATGTAAGATTTTTAAAAACTCGGAAATCGGCAGTGTAAGTGTTTCTTGTTGGTTGTGAGAAGAGAGAAAAGGGCCAAGTCATGTCAGCTTGCCTGTTATGTTTTTGTATTTTAGAGAAAAGGAGGAATAAGGAATAAAGGAGGAGAGCAGAGGGCAGGAAGAAAACAGGAGGACAGACCAGATATCTTTTCAGTCAGCATTTTCGTACAGGAGGGGCAGAAACACCAGACTCATAGAATATTCGGAGACGTCTTTTGAGTAGGATAGGAAAGAAGGAGAGCAGTCCATCCATACTGTGTGATGTGAATTAAAAAAGGAGAGTTGTTAACCCCAGACATAGCTCTTATTTTTTTGAAAAACAGAAGAGGGAGAGAGAAAGAGAGAGCAGGCCATTGAAGGAGATCAGTGGCTTTTATACAGGAGAAGCGTCAAGCGCAGACTCATGTATTGTTTGGAGATCTCTTTTGAGTAAAACAGGAAAGAAGGGGAGCAGTGCATCTATCTTACGCAATGTGGATTTATACAGAAAAGCCGTCAATTTCAGACAGAGCTTTTAGTTTCAGAAAATAGAAAGAGGGGAGGGGAGGGAGGGCAGGCCATCGACGGAGATTCACGAAGTTTTTATAGGAGGCGTCAACACCAGAGTCATGTTTTTGCCATTGTCGTTTTGAAAATAGAAGGAGAGGTGAGAAAGGGTATGCTATCGCTGGAGGTCAGTGGCTTTTTTGTAGCAGGCGTCAACGCCAGACTCATCCGAGTCTGGAATGGTGATTTTAGGAAAGTAGAAAAGGGGGAGAGAAGAGCAGGCCATGAGGACGTAGACCATGTATTTTCTGGGGGAGAGCTGTCAACCCTAGACATGGCTCGTGTTTTTGGAAACTAGAAAAGGGAGAGAAGAGGAAGGGCAGACCATATAATCTTTGAAATGAGGATTTTTGTACAGGAGAGCTGTCAACACTAGAATCATTGTCGTGGGGCATCGTCGTTGTAAGAGTAGAAAAAAGAAAGGGGAGAGCAGGCCATAGGAAGGTGGTCCGTGTATTTTCTACGGGAGAGGCGTCAAACTCAGACTCATAAAAACTACGTCTCCTTATTTTTGGAAGATAGGAAAAGGGGGGAGAGCAGACCATCGGGAGGTGGGCCATGTATTTTCTATAGGAGAGCCGTCAAACTCAGACTCATGGGAAATTTGTCTCCTTATTTCGGAAGATAGAGAAAGGGAAGGAGAGAGCAGAACATTGGGCATGTGTTCGAAGATTTTTGTATAGGAGATGTTTCAACACCAGACTCATGAACGTTTCGATGCTAGGTTTTAGGAATGTAGAAAAGAAGAGGAGGGCAGAACATCGGAAAAGTGTATTCGAACTTTTTTATATAGCAGATGCTTCAACACCGGTCTCATCAACGTACCAACCTTATGTTTTAGGAAAGTAGAAAAAAGGAAGAGTAGGGCAGTCCATAACGTCTGAAACCTCTCCATTTTCGCACACGAGAACCGCCAACGCCAGGCATTAGTTTCTTTGTTGTGGTTTTTAGTAAAGTAGAAAGAGGTGAGGAGATCCCACTGCATCCGTTCTCTTTACATTTGTTTTTTTTATACAAGAGAGCCGCTAACATCAGACATAACCCAAGTGCCGTGTCGATTTAGAAAAGTAGTAAAAGGGTAGAGCATTCCACTCCATTCACCCTCGCGATAATTGTTTTGTAAAATAGAACAGCCAACACCAGACTCATCCCCAATCACCATTTAGATTTTAGAAAAGTAGAAAGAAGGCAGGAGACTCCACTCCATCCTCCGCGACCAAGTTTTTGTACGAGAGAGCCGTCAACACCAGACTCATGAAGGTCTTGGCATACATTTTTGAGTAAAGTAGAAAAAGAGAGAAAAAAGACAGAGCATAAATTGGGCTAAAGGAACATTTAAACCAAAGCCGCCAACCCCAGGCATAAGCCTTGATGCAACGGGTTTTAGGTAAAGTAGGAAGAAGAGAGGAGGAGACGACAAACCATGCCGCCAACCGCCAACATGTGTGTACTCATCATCGATTTTTATTATAAAAAAAGGCGAGTTTTGGTGGTTCCAGAAACCCACATACATCGCTTCCCGCTACTTTTAGGTTTTCAATTCATGTAGGGGGAGAATAGTGAGTATGAACAACAAACTCTGGACTCGACATGGTTTTATAGAAACTATCGGTTTTAGAAATGACTTTCTGGGAAAACATAATGTGTCCAGCGCAATTTTTGAGTTTTTTCAGAAGAAAAGAGAAGGGCGCATCGCATCGCTGGAAGGTTTTTTGATAAAATAAAAGAGAAGTGCAGAAAGAGAGGCACAAGGACATTTGTCGTCGCCGGGTTTATTTTAAAGGGAAAACATCACGCTGCACTCAGGAAACTTTTGAGAAAAGCAGAAGAAGGTTTGAGAGACAAGAAAACAAGTGGTGATCAAGAAGATGTGTGATTTATATACTGCCTCCCAGGGGCACGTGCCACCCAACCCAACGATCTAAGCCGAAAAGATATCCACAAGGCCGTCTCTATATACATGTTCCCCCGTTTGCACAAGAAACCCTCTGAAATTGACCAATTAACTCGTCATCGCAATGGCAGACTCTTCTCCTCTGCAACCTCGCCGGCGTCCTTTACAGGCACCGCTTCCGGACTCGCAGCGGGTGTCAACCACGGCGCACCCGCATCACCCTGCTCGACCGTCTTCCCCTTCTTAGCCCTCTTATTGACGTATCCCGGGCTGGGACTCGCCCAAGAGTAATCAAAGCCATCCCCAAGCACCTCCTGCACGCCCTCTGCGAGAATCTGCACCGTCCGCTTACGATTGGTGCTAAGTTCCCAAGCGCGGTACCAGCGCCCAGCGCGCGCCGCAGTTTCCTGACCGCCCTCGAGACCATCGAGGATAGAGCGCCAGACGAGCATTGTCTTCTCTAGTTCCGAAGCACGTGAAACGCCAATGACGCTAACGCCTAGCTTGGAGCCGCCCACATCGTCGATGGATTCTTGCTTCCAGGGCACACCGGACGCGGGGTCGCCGCGAGAGCCACACAGCGCGCCGGCAGACGTCCACGTCTCGAGCGCAAAACGAATGGCAATGACTTCGATTCGCTCGCCGTGCTCGTCGCAGAAGTTGCTGGCTTTGCGGACGGCTTCGCGGAGCGAGGCGGGCGCGGGGTGGAAGTCGCCGAGGGCTCCAACGGGGATTCCGTCGCGACGCAAGAGTCCCATGCCGAGGATGGAAGCGTTGGGCACCACGTCGACGCCTGCGTTCTTGAGGCGCAAGATGCCGCGCTCACCCGCGAGTGTCTGGTTCTGGAGTGTGAAGTTGGCGTACGATTGCACCACGTCGAGCGGCTCGCCTGTCTCGCGCAGGATGAGTTCGGCCATGTCGCCCAAGACATCGAGCGGGTATCCAGAGATACCAACGTAGCGGATTGTGCCCTCCTCGTCTCGTATGCGCCGCAGCTCCTTGACTGCCTCCAACACCTCTGCTGGGCTTACAAACTCCACATCGTGGCAGTAGACGAGGTCCAGATAGTCGGTTTGCAGTCGCTCCAAACTCCGGTTGACACTCTCGCGCACCCACTCCTTGCTGTAGTCGAATTCCTCGTTCGCTATCCGCCCGACCTTTGTCAAGATCATGTATGAGTTCCTGGGGAAGGTCTCCCGGACGAATGGAGTTGCGAGCGCATCGCCGAGTAATTGCTCAGAGGGGCCGTAGTATGGTGATGTGTCAAAGGCGCGGATACCGTGTGTAAGCGCTGATGTTACCAAACCCGTCGTGTCGAGCGCAAAAGGGTCGCTGTTGTATAGGTGGTTAAACGTGGCGGTTCCGAAGACGAGGGGTGGCAGAATGGAGGATAGTGGGGTGCGCTTGCCATTGGCAAACGTGTATGGGATAGCCTTTTGGCGCGTAGGAAAGGTGTGTGTCGTCGACGCAAGTTCAACAGGCGTAGTCGCCATGGCTGCAAATATCAGCGCTACTTCAAAGACGCGTTGCGAGTTGCGATGTAGGCGTCGTGGTTGTGCGCGGCGTATAGCGGGGTTGTTTCCGGATGAAGTGGAGAGAATGACAAAAGAAGTTGCTGACCAAAGCCTCACAGAAAGGGATATTCATAAAAAAAAACTAAACTTACAAAGAGAAGGGGTCCATGAGCATTAGCCTCGCGCCCACGCATGCAACGCCCCGAAGGCGTAAAATCTATGCCTCACCACCCGCCTTTTCGGTTTTGGCAAGGCTCGGCAGGCCGCGATGGCAGGCACACATGGACTAGCAGTTGATGTGCATGACGCCATGAGCGTCTAGAACGCGTTTGAACTTCGCCTATTCGTTCCAGGTTAAACGTTGGAGAGAAAGGATTAACAGTCCTAGATAATGGTGTGATTGCGGATCCACATGCAAAAGAGACCCTGCCTTATGCTACCCAAGCTTGACCTGGTACTTTGCCAGACGCCTGGGTTGGTAAACATGTCATTCCGGCCAGATCCGAGATTCGGAACGTTTGGCATCATGCATCTTGCTTGCACTGCTGCATTGCCGATATCCTGTTTCTCGTGCGCGGTCGGTCGGAGAAACTCTTTACCCTAAACGTGGGGGAGGACAGCTTGCTCTAATCGGCCCGCATCGTGCAGCACTTGATGGGTACCTAGTGTAGGTACAACCCAACGTAGTAGTAGAACAACAGTCGCAGCACTATGAAGGAACTGTACCGTGGAAGTCTCAAGTCACCGGACGTGCGCCAGTTACGGAAATTTGCGGAAGATGACAGGTATATGACAGACGCCCGCCCACAATTCATAACGACGTGCGGAGTGGTTCAGATAGAGGATGCTAATAGCGGATAAGTTTCCGGTTTTGGCCGCCTAGCCGCTAGCCTATCATGCCGACTTCCATGCCCTCGTCCACACATCACGACTCATCCCCCACCGGCATATTTGTGCTCTTGCGACCTGACGATACGTTATGTTGATGCCAAATCTGCAGTCGTGTTCTGCCAACCGGTGAAGCACGACTCATTCTGACCCTATAGTGACATTCACCGCTCGCGCCGTCTCGCCCAAGACTATCACTTGTTGGGAGTACAACATGTCTAAGTCGCATGTCCTTTGAGATACGCAGCAATGAAACCAGGGGATTTCATGGCACAAGGCCACTGGATGGGTAATGTATAGCGCTCGAATAATTCAGGGTCGTAATAGATACTGATATAGCTGCTGTCAGAACGTAGGTCTACGCCCACTACGCTATGCAACCAAAAAGGTACGTATGATCAGTGAACTCCTGATTATCGTGGTAGAATAGTATATATTGTACACCTCGCATTGCGTAGGCCTGACAGCTGCTGTGTGGCCAGCAATGCAAAGTGACGTAGTACCCCAGAAGAGCCATCTTCCGAGCAGCAGCAGCGAGGGCGCAGTTCGACCGGAGAAAACACGAGTGATTCAACGAAGATTTCTGGTACAACATGGATTCACTCGCTCTCGCTGTCTCCTCTAGGCAACACCCAAAAACGCTCGGTACAACGCTCATCAAAATCATGTAATTCCATCTCTATGCATTTTCGAATTAACCAAAGAATCCCCCAATCATCAAAACCAGCAGAGGAACATGCAATCATCGTAAGAGGATTTTCTTTGGTTAAAACACCAAATACACTCATGTATGAGCGCGCTCCCTGCTTTGCAAAGGAGAGGAAACGTATAAATACCCGTCTTGCTCGCACATCCCTCCAATCCTCTTACTATCTCCCACACTTGAAATCTTTCCTTCATTGCTAAAATCAATACATCACATGGAAATGTCTAAAAGTTACATTTGCAAGGCAAATTTTTTCGAGAGATTGCGCGGTTCTAAAAAAAAAGTTTTGACCGAAGCAAATGCGTGCCGCCTGTGTGCGGCAAGTGGTATAAATATCTTCCTCTCCATCATCTTCTACGGTTTATAACACACAAAACTTTCTTCTTATTTCCAAAAAAAACATCCAGTTACTGGAAATGTTTGAAAATCAGGCTATGAAGTCACATGAGCGTGTGAGAAGCACCAGTACCTATAAAAACGAAAAGTAATGACCTGCATGTTTGTGGGCTTGCATGTGTACATAAATCTCCTACTTTCTCTCGTACCTCACCATCTTTCATACTCACCACTCCCTTCCTTCTTTTTAAACCCGCCGTCACCAAACCGATACTGAAACTACAATCCACAAGAGACATGAGTTTGACCCAAGACCACTCGTTTTCTAAAATCAAGAAAATAGAAATGCTACGGACACTGTTCCATGTGCGCGTCGCTCCAGCAGGGGAGCTTTTCTAAGAAAAAATGAAATTTCCGGTATATTATGGAGCCGGAGAAAAGAACGTTGGAGTCAGCGGATGGGGATAATTCCTGCCTTTCTTATTACTACCTACTCCTCTTTACCTAAAATCTACAAAACCGTACGAAAAAGAACAAATGTGGTGATTTTCTCGGTGTTTTCTTGTCCAAAGTTCTCTGGTGTACATGGAATGAGCGTGCTCTCCGGTGCCTTCTTTTTTCCACTCAAAATGAAAAACTTGGTTGTCGATGAGTTCGTTGCGAGGGGCACTAAAATCACGAGACACTCAAATTAAAAGTACCCATCCTACATATGCAGAAACCTTTCTACTTCATTCTCTTTATGTATTTTCAAAAAGCGTTTTGTTGGATCGGAGGAGAGATGAGAGAGAAGGTTTGTTTATTGAGAGAGTTGCAGAGAGCGACTATATACATGAAGTAGAGTATCTGGAGCATTCCAGATCAGCAGTGTGTTACGTAGCTGTGACGATAGTAGAACATTCTAGTTGACACACCCCCTGAGGGCTGACACGTTTGATATCAGCTGATGTGCGCTGTTTGGGGGTGGAAAGGATAAAGCTTACGCTAACGGTAGGAGCGGGTATAAATCTGTCTCTCTCTCTTCTGTCGACCTCTTCTTCTTTTTCTTTAGTACACCACGACTGTCTACTTTTCTCCTCTTAAAAAAATGTACATTCACTCATGAGGGATTTCCTGGTTTTTCTAAAACGTACGTAGAGCCAGTCTATGGCTTTCTGCCCTTGTTTGAGTTAAACCCCTTTTCTACCTCTTTTCTTTCTGCTACTTTCCAAAACTTCGGCCCTTTACTTCCTCTTTTCAAAATTAATACCCTGTCGGATCGTGAGTATCGGTAGAGACGTCGGCTGCTTGACACTTCGGCCCGACTTCGGCCCACCTTGCGCAGAGCTTAGGTATACCTTCGTAGCAGCTATGTTCGTAGACAAGAAAAACAACCACCGAACAGAATGCATTCCTAGTTATCGTTATTTCCCTTTACGCACTTAGTGCAAAGCCAACCAACATACCCATTATTAACATGGAGCTGCTTCTTCTGCCCTCTCGTAAAACTCAATCCTAAGTACTTCCCCGTCCTTCGGCAGAGATGTCAACAAGGCAAGGTCAAAGCTGGCTTGATTCTTATCGATTGCAGATCACAGACCATTCTCTGGGACGTGCCACTGTGCACGAGCCTCTATATTGTCTGTGATCTGCAATCGATAAGAATCAAGCCAGCTTGACGTGCTTGTTGACATCTCTGTGCTTTGGGTACTTATTTTATCTAAAATTAAGGACGTTCCATGGCATGTGTCCGTCTCGGCGGTCGAATCCTCACTCGTAAAATCAAATTCCACTTTGAATAACTTCCATTTCTCGTGCAATAGAAATGGCTCGCCAAATTTCGTGATGTTCCCGCCGTCTAGGTTGGTCTAAAAAACTATATCGGTTCTTTTCTTCTGTCCCTACGCTTGCCGTGCGCATTTCAGTCGGACTGCAGTTTAAAAAAGGTTATTTGCGAGTTATAAGTATCCAAATTCCCTCTTTTACGATAGAAAACTCGCCACAGAGACTGTGGAACGGGGGCATCACGTCGAAGAATCCAGATGTAGAATTTGCAATGCCTTCTAAAAAGAGCTATGCAACATGCGATGAGCTGAGAATCTATGGAAATTTGACATTGAAATCTACGAAGGGATCTGCGCAAGTGTCCAAGCTAGTGCCATGCGGGAACTATATAAAAGCCTCACGCTTCTCCCCTCTTTCTTCCTCCTCACCTCACTTTCAAAGATCTTCCAAAATCCACGTAATCTAAAAAACTATCGAAAGAACAGATGTTTTCTCCCTGCCTTTCTTCGTTGCAACACTCAGCATACGCTAGAAAATACTGTATATAAAAACCTTATTCCTCCCTCTCAACTTCCTCCTTTCTTGTCTACAGAAACTTCTGATTTACTAAAAGCCACGTAATCTGGGGTCATGTTTTCGCTCTTGCGGGGCACTTTCTAAAATTTTGATAAAAACACTGAATGGACGGTGGTCGGTTCAAGACTGGTGGATGATATTACATATTCTTTTTGATTTCTCCAAAAAACAAAGAGTCATGTTTCTATGTGGTGCGGCAGGGTTGAGATTGTCAAAAAACACTCATCTAGTCTTTCTGATTTCTCTAAAAAACTAAAAGGTAGCTACTCGATGAGGTGCGGGTGGTTTAGGTCCCGCACGATATTCATCTATTCTGTTAAGAATATGTTAGGTTCAGTCCAGGTCGGCGAGGTGAGGTTCGTGGAGTAAGCCCGAGCAGAAGGACCGACGCGGAATGATGATCTGTCATGTACGTCCTAAGATCATCATAACAACAAGTAGATAGAACAATAGCTCTTAGTGAAGTTCAATCCAATACAGGGTTACCTTTCGTACCTCTACTCGGTCGCCTATGGTAGTCATACCACCAGAGGAGACCTTGTTCTAACATATTCTTTCTAATTTTCAAAAAAGCTTGTATATCGTCACATGTCAGCAACCGCGTCTACTTGAAATTTACAGACTGCCACCACCATTTTCCCTACTCCAAATTACTTAAAAATTTATTGAAAAGGCATGCACGCTGTATGAATGTCGCGACCGCGCTTTGAGTGATGGTTAAAAACCCCACTACTGATTTCTAATGTTTTCTTGATAAGCCGGACTCATACAAATAAAATGTACAATGCACTCTTCCACCTTTTTTTAAACGGGATCATGGCAGACTCGATGTTTCGAAACCTCTTGGTACTAAATTAATTGCCGTTTCTCTTGGAGCACATTTATTCTAAAAAGCAAGATCAACGTTATATGTGCGCTTCGTATGTCCCTCCTAAAAATAGAGCTCTAGAAAAGTCGTGAGTTATACACCAAGAGTGATATTTTCGGTTGCCGGGTACATGACGTTTGAGTCTATAAAACTGCACGTAATGACATTTTGCGTGATTCTCGGTACTCTAACCTACCATGTCTTGGATGACGAGCTTCTAAAATCAGGTTGCAACTATTCTATGTGTTCCGTCTTTTTCCCGAAAATGGACAGGAGCCTTTACCTGTTCTGTTCCATGCAAACTACTGTCTCTGTGGCCCCGAAGCGTTAGGAGATCCCATAATCTCGCAATTGCAAGATTACTCAACTTCGTAAAGTATTGTAAAGTTGGGCGACATGACCCATGTGTCGTTTTGAAAGTAATAGCTTTGTCGAAAAACATCAGTGATGACACAGACGATGTTCGTTCACCCGTCTTGTCTGGCTGAATATAAAATCTCTCCTTCTCCTTCCTGTCTCCTTTCTACCACACTGAAATCCGATATTTCCCAAACATACAAGAGGCAGTTCGTATGTGTTCTTGCTGCTCTTTCTCAAACAAAATCCATCGACAGGTACTTCATGTGTTACAGTATATGCAGTCAATCAAAGTGTATTGTGTATGTTGTCTTGTAGTGTTGTGTCTGCTCGCCTTTTTACGAAGGCAGCAGCAGGGTCTGTTTACATGACGTATCTATGATACAGCTGAGGTAAGAGGTGCTCAATAAAGAGAGGAAGCAGCACCAGACCACCAACACGTGATCTGCTTCTCCTCATAACCGTTACGTCATGACTTTCCTCTCTTTTGCCATAAATTTAATAATTTCATTCCCCGCAGCGAGTGCAGTGACACTTCAAAACCATCAAGCGACTATCACGTGACCTGCGAAATGCTACATGTATAATATCATGTTCACCACGAAAATACCATTGCAGCAAATACACATGTGTCAAAGTTCTCTAGTGAAAAAAAAAACATATGTGAACTAAACTATCCAATCCCCAGCTATATACACAGGAAAACCCAGTTGTCTGCAAGGCTCAATCTTATCAACAATTTCTCATCCAGCCCCAATACCCACACATATGGAAAGAAACAAAGCGGACAGCCAGCCCATATGGCTCATATCTACAATTTATCGTTCCCCAGTATCCGGATATGAAACGCGAAAAAGAGGGCGGTCTGCAAGACAGATAACACAACACAACACATCAAACAAATGAGAGAAGAAGGTTTCGCGCCTGAGAAGGCTGAAAGAATGAACTTTGAAAAGATAGAAAGAACCACCAGATGAGACTGGATGTAAGGAAGGAAGAAAGAAAAGAATATACCACTCCAGAAATCTCAACACAAAGGCCTTTCCTCCCGTCTCTCTGTCTTTCTCCGTCTCAATCTACACCCCCACGAAAGATCTCATACTCTCACCAAACCATCCATACCCTTCTCTCTCACACAAAACAGCCTGTTCTATCCAAAAACCACTAATCCCACCAAACCCCCTCTTAGTCGAAGTGTAAAAAAGGAAAAATTCATAAATTATCATTAAGGCCCAGACAAACTTAACTCAAGCTCTCAAGTCGGAGGCCACACAAATCCCACACACTACTACGGCGATGACCCCCCATCAATCCGCCCAAACTCCTCTCTCGCATACAACCGATCCCCCCGCTCACTCCCACTACTCCCAGACGACACAGCACAACACTCATCACTACTATACTTTGAGCTACTCTGCCGTCTGGGCACAGCCGAACTTGCACTTCCACTACGCTCCTTTTCGTGGTCACGGTCATGACCAAAGTGTCCGCCGTAGGAACTCCCGTCTGAGGACTCGGGGGACATGGAACCTTGGTCGCGTTGGAGGGAGGCGTCCATGTAGCGCGAGTGGTCGCCGCTCATGCGGTTGAGGAGAGAGATTATTTCTAGACTGGGGCTGCCCATTGGGGGTTGGGGGGATAGTCTTGCTGGGGGTTGGCGGAGGGGGAGGTTAGAGGAGGGGTTTGGGGCGGGGGGTGCGCGGGTTGGTGGTGCTGGTGTGCTGTTTGTGCGGGTGCGGGGGAGGGTAGTTTGCAGGGGGAGGGAATGCCGAATATTCGAATTACGGGACGACGATCGAGAATGGCTTTTCTCAGTCTGCGCAGGAATGCGTTCCCAGTTCGGTGTGGGGGGAGGCCGGTTTTCGCTATTACTCTCAAGATTGTTGAGCGCGTTTGTCACGGCATCGCCAACGTCCGCGTCGTTCAACTGGTGGTGTGAGATCTCGTAAGACTGGTTGAGAGGGGTGGCGCGGTGCGAGGCGCGGTTGGTATGTTCCAGGACACGGTTTGTGCCTCGCGGTGGCGAATCGTCGGGCAGCGGCCATTCGGCGGGGATATCTGGCACTGGAGGGGCGTTTCTGACGTTTCGTGAGCTCCGTTCCGCAAGCGTGGTCCGCGAGGATGAGCCCTCAAACGATATGGTCGTGTGGCGGCTTCGTGAGGAATCACCTGATATGCGTTTGACCTTCCAGTTGCCCGTCCGCTCGTCTACTGCTAGAGTTGACTGGGGATATCGCAGCGAATCGGCCAACGTCTGGGTGTCTTCGAATACTGAAGATGGGTAGTTATGTAGGGTCTCGGTAGATCCGTTATGCGGGTGGACCATCGGGCCAGGAGCTGATACGTTCTTCTCGCTTCCATGTAGGTTGACGCGACTCCTGGAGTAGTCGCCTGACCTACGAGCTCCGTTGGGTACGTAGAAACGTAAATCGACGCGTACAATGGCAAACATGATGATGACAAAGATTTCGGTGAGAAAATTAAAGCAATAAAAGGCCGCCTTGGAGAGGTACCAAGGCATGATGACAGTGCCGCGCTGGATGTCCATCAACGGAATTGCCGGGATCCAAGCCAAGACGCAGCGGAAGACCTGTCCGATTAGAAGAATAGATACTGAGATTAGGAGGATCGTAATGTTGTTCCTCAGTCGCCCAGCGCCAAAGGGGTCGATTTCTTTGCGCGGGATAATGAGTGCAATGGCCACGAAAATGGCCGGGGCAGCACAGAGAATAGTAAAGTATGTCTGAGCAATCACAAACATGTCGTGGAAAGCTTCGAGTTTTCCCTGGTCAGTGGTGTAGAACTGCCAGATCTGACTGATGACGAGCATGAGTAGACTGACGACCAACACGCCAAGACCGGCTCTGTGGACGACGCGGTACGCAGTCGACCATCCCAGGTGAGGATGTAGAGAGCGGACTACACGTTGAACAAAGAACCAGTTGAGCATGTACAGGATGATGGTGCCGACATAGACAAAGACGTTTGCCGTGATGGCAAGGCTGACGTTCCTTGGATAGTTTGCCCATGCTATCCTCAGTGACATGGTAATGATGCGAATCTTGCATAGACCTATTACTGTCAGTCGCGGGGTAATCCAGTCCACGTGAACACGACATACCAAGTATGGCGCCATTGAAGATGAACTTGTGGCCACGATGCTTGTTACTCTTGAAGATCTTGATGTGAATGACACCAAACAGCAGATAGAGCAAAAGAAAGACAATGGCGACAGGCACATCAGGAACGATAGTCGGCGTGCCTCCCAAGCCCGCATTGCGTGGGGCAAATGGAGGACCTACTTGCCCGGATTGTCCAGACTGTTCTTCGTGTCAGTTGTGTTCTTCTTGATACATACATGATACGACATACCGGAGGACCTTGCGCGTCTTGCTGCGAAGGCATCGTGACTTTTCAGTGCTCTGAAACGTCGACTTGCAGAAGATCAATGGAGAACCAAAAAGCTCCACCCTGCCGCCGGGGGACGACATGGTGTATATCACGTCGGGTACGATAAGGGCGGTTCTTTCAGCCGAGACAATAGCTCGACCTGCTTAGGTCAGGGCCAGTCGCCTCCAAAGCCCCAAATAAGCATTACATGACGACTCGCTAGCAGCGACGTTATTCGTGGTTCTAATTGCGATTGCACTATCCACGTCCTGCATTCCGGACCTTCTAAGCCGTGCACAACCACGCTTCACTGCATTGGGGTTCCGGTTTTGTGGATACGTACCATACCCGTGGTACGCGAGTGATCCTTACGGGCGATCTGGATTTCCATGGGTGAAGAAACATGGTATTCCAAGGCGGTGCTTTTGCGGACATGCCATCCTTTTGCTTGTCCCCTTATTTTTGATTTTTTGTTCCATTTCCCCGGCTCATCTTCAAAAGGACCTTGAGCACCTGCCCGCCGTGCCACGGCATGCTGGCAGTGCACAAGACCTATTCTTCTTAACGTTACCGAGGCACAGCTGAAAGGCTAAACCGGCTCTCCGCAATAGTGCCGGAGAGGTGCATATAGCCTTCGCTCAACGTCGCGTAGAGGTGAGATCGGCGAAAACGTTGAAAGAAGCTCCGACCAAATGACGCGTGCATCGGCGTTGACGCAGGACATGGCGCCGACGCACGCTTGCTTCCTAATACGGCGCAGCATGTGAAATGACTCTGGAATTATCTTGACCCTGCATCGCAGCTGCATCAAAAAGCACGTCGCTACTTATCTTGCTTGTTAATATCATGGGGACTGAGTGAAAAAGCGTAAGGGTGAATGCATTGGCACGTGTCGCGTTGGACCCCTTTGACATCCATGGAAGTTCGGCGCGGTGAAACCTATCGGAATGGTCGACGGACATGAACTTTTGTCTCCTGCTTGATAGGAGAAAGAACACCAACTTCACCAATTCAATCGCATCGCCAATGCTGCCAGCAACCAGGCAATCCTCTCCCCTCGACTCGTAGTAAGCCATCATGCCTCCCAAAGCCACAAAGCGAGCCGGCAAGGCCCCCACTTCCTCCAAGAAAGCCATCCCACCACCCTTTACTCCAGCACCCCCCGAGCTGTCCACCCTTCTTTCTACATTCGATCCTACCCTCGTCTACATAGCACACGTCGACCCGCATCCCGCCTGGTTCAAGCGACGCATCTTCACCGTGCCCGTCCTGTTAAACACCAGCATCGTGCTCCTCCTCCTATGGCGCGCCTACTCCCTCGGACCCCATTACTGGGACATTCTACAATCCGTGCTCGGCAATCACAATGAAACCACAATATACTGGGACTCTACACCGTGGGGCTCTCTGATCTGGCAGCTGGGCAAGCGCACGGCCATGTTCATGTTGGATTTCGTGCTATTCCGCTTTGTCGCCCTCTGGCCCTTTTCCTTCTTCATCGAGCAGCCCGGAAACCCCGTGAGCTGGCGATGGAGCGTAGGCTTCCGGGACGAAGAAGTCTACGTACGTGTTAGCCGAGGCTGGGGCGCCAAGGATCTCTTAGGAGAAGCAGAAGGAGGAAGTGGGCGAGCAGGAAGTGAGAATCCCTTTTTCAAAACTAGAGTCCTACCCGCTGTAGACCAGAAGCGACTCCGAGAGAAGACGGGCTACATGCTTATGGACGCGGATTTCGACCTCGATTTCTTCGGCATGGTGGCTGCGACACAGCTCCTCGATCGCAAAGACATTTCGCTTGATCACCTGCGCAAATCCGTCTTCGTATACGTGGGCGATGCAGAGACGGAAAACGGTCAATGGGCGGTTTGGGAATGTGCGAAGCTTGACGAGGGCTCGGAAACGGAGGCCAGGGACAAGGTCATTGCGTTCAAGGATAAGCTGACGGCTATGGGCAAGGAGAGCTTGTTCTTCCGCTGGGTCGAGCTCATTCAGTACGAAAGTAATGCGCCAGGGGGTTTCACGCAGGAGAGACAGATTGAGGCTGCCAAGAAGGTCAAGACGATGTTTGAGAATGAAGGCGTCGACTTCGAGGCTTTCAGCAAAGAAATTGGTGGTATGGATGGAATCTCTGGTGTGTAGCTTATGTTCTCCCCTAGTGGGGTTGCATGAAAAGCGGCTGTGCCGCGGTGATTCCTATATCGCATTGATACCCTGTGTCGTCATAACTAGAAGAAAACGCTAGACTACATTGTTCTTCACGGATACCTTATCTACCTTCCCCGTGCATGTGCCTTGATCAGAATCCGTTACAAAAAAGCACTTTGGTTCGGTCGGGCAGAACGGCGACATGCAAGACCGGGATGCACGCTGGTATAGGAGCGAAAGAATCGATCGATCAGGACCCTCACTCAATCGTACCAGTGCGAGCATCGGCTAGTGAACTATTGGTTGACCCTTGACAAGTTCCCCCACAACACCATCTATAGCTAGTAGTAGCCCGCAATCATGACATATGCCATTTTTCTAGAACCCAACATTGAATATCCAAACAATATTGTTTGCAGATTATAGAAGCAACTGTGCCACCAAACAAGATTCCAACCTGCTCACCCTTTTTCCATGACTAGTCACCAGCCCAATGTTTGATGTGACAAACAAGCAACGTCTGTGTGTCACCCCAGGAATCAAAGCGCGGATCCCCATAATGCAGTCATCTTGGCAGGCCAGTATTTTTCTAGCTCAAGTTCCCCTTGATTTGAATTTCTTTCCCAGGTTCAGCATAATAAATCATATCAGAACCCCTGTACGGCTGTACGCGGTCGCTGTTTTTTTCTCAATCGCTCCAGCTTCTGCCTTGTGTCCAGGGTGTGAGTGCGGACATGTGACGCACAGACGCATCCAATAAACGGCTGGGAGTTTCCTGGTTGGATAAATTCAAAGAAAGTAATCAATGGGCCTCCAAATGAATGGTATGAACCAAGCTTCGGCTTTTTCCGCTGTCGGCAACCTCCATGTCTGGTTTTGCAATTTACTGGCATCTCCTCCTCCCCTACTCCATCAACTATCGCATGGTCGTCCAGTCTCTTGGGGCCTAGATGCCTGCTCGAAAGATTTTGGATGAATAATTGATGGCTTCCGACGTTGGTAGATGTGTTGCGCGTCAGGACTAGTACACTGAAGTGAGATAATCGTAGATTCCCCCGTGTGAAGACAACAGCCGCCTCAAAGAGACGGTAAACACATGTTGGACCTGCATACTTATATTCAACCCCCGTTGTAAAACCCGTACTGGTCGAATTGAACAGGCGGTGTAACATCGCTCGTAGCAAACGAAGATGACTGCATGGGAATGTATTCGCTGAACAAATCAGCCATGCTAGCCTCAGGCCCGAATCCAAGGTTCTGCATAAATTGCGGTTGGTTGTCCGGTCTGGTTACTCTGTCTAGCGACGCCAGCTCATCGAAGAAGCTCTCAAGATCGTGGATGGGTTCTGGATAAAGTGTGTCTGATTGTGAGGTGCTAGCTGCTATGAGAAGAGGTTCGATAGTTGAGTGCGTATCTGTAAAGAAAACGTTGTGGGTATCGGCGGGTAATTGAGCCACAGATGAGTTATCGGGGAAGATCGATTGCAGTGGATCTGGGTTTGCTGTTTTCAAAGCATTTCTTTGGTCCCTGAAGGGTATAAATGTACTCTCGTGTGTTTGCGTAGTGTTCGGGATCTGTTGTTTTGGCCATTGTGCCATGATCTTCTCTCGCAGCTTCTGCAAACGTGTACGATTGGCATCGTTTAGACCCGAATAAGCAGCCTGTCTGCGAATGTATTCCAACAAGCACTTGATGGGAGGTGGTATGCGTTGAGGCCCCAGCTGTTGGCGGCACTGCTCTAGGATATCAAATAGCCTCTTGAGACGCAGGTCGGAAGGATTCGTAGCGAAGCAAGCAACATGATACGTTGCCTGCAGCAGAGCCAGTGGTGGAGTCAAACAGGGTAATGGTGACTCGATATCCACGCATGCTAGTTGTGTAGGCAGAAACGCTTTCCACCTCTCAAGACGTTCGCGGACGGTATCTTTTTGTGATGTAGTATCTGGCTTCTGGATGCTGGAGAGTATATCGATAAGTTCGAGGATACTGTTGAACGTGCTGAGAGCTAGTAGGGGCGTCCTCCTTCCATCAGGCGACGGGTCACCGAATCCTGACCATGGCTGCCACTCCTCTAGACCGTTCTCATCAATGGCACCGAGATAGTTGAGCTCGGCTTTTCGAACATATGGTCTTTGGTCGAGCTGGAGTGCAATCATGTTCTCTAGCAGGAAACAGCCGTAATGTATATGTTTGTGTCTAGGGTTAGTCAAGAGTGAAGGCTGGTCCATTATTTTCAAGGCTCTCGAAGCACAACCGATGAGAAGCCAAGCGGCTCCGGTTTGTGATTGTGCCATATTGAAGACTGCCAAATTTAGAAGTGCTGTGATATGCCCAGCTTCAAAATGACCCAATTCGCTGGGTATTATAGACTTTGCATTCTCGTACGACTTGACTGCCATTGCTGAAGGAGTGTTTAGTGAGCTTTCGGAGTTCGTGCTCGTATCATATAGCGAGGCAATTGCCAAGATACTCCATAACTCAGCATACGAGCCAGAATCCGGTTGTTCGGATATTGCGAGGAGGCCCTGTAACGGGTATGAATAGGCAGATTTCAACACATCATGCTTCTCACATATTGGAAGCCAAGATTGGATGTGGGTGAAGTAGACTTCGAAAAGCTTGTAGCTATCCGTTGGCATCAACGCTGACGGGCGTGTTGTATGTACTTGTGGCGCCGTAGACGGATGTTGTAGACCAGGAGAGACGGTAACAGCTGGCGCATGCTCACTACGTTCCCTACGATGACCACCGTTGGCGACTGGAGCCTCTTCAGCGTCGGAACCTTCATCACTACTATGAGAGAGATCATCAGGTTGTTCATGCCTCGAAGTTTCTCCACCAGATAGCTGTTTATCCACATTCGTGTAGAACTTTGCTTTGCGCCATCGCCTGTGAAGCTTATTGGACTCTTTCGAATCCCGGCTTAGTAGCAGTGAAGAGGCGCCTTCTTTTGCCAACTTTTCGTTCAGAGCAACCTCGTTTTCTGCGTTTTGTTGGAATAACCACGCAAGTGCCAGTTCCAAAGTACGGATGTAGCCAGGCTGTATACCTCGTTTCTTGGGATTTGCCGTATAGGAACACTGTCTTGAAGCTCCAGAACAGGTGGAGCATGCTGGTTGTACTCCATCGCACTTCTCACGTGCGAGGCGACATTGGTCACATGCTCTTGATATCCGGGTCTAGTGCCAAACCTCCCAAGTCAGTACAAGACTCATCCGGATCCTGCATATGGAAATCACTCACACGTTTGGCAGGCTTCTCTTCCGGCTGAGGCGCGGAACGGCGCTTTGCCTGGCTTTGTGCAAGCATGAGCCCGTGGCAAGCGAGTAGGTAGGACTTTACGAGATATCAAAACTAAGACTAGACATGCAAATAGCAATGACGTCTTTACATGGTTCGCGGATTGGTTCCTGGGACTGAATGAGTTCATGTAGAGTCGCTGGTAGCGCATGATGCAAACTCACAGCTTCACGTTTCACCAGCGCCACGGAGCTCAACAACCGTAAAATCCGGGGGCTTGGGCCTAGAGCGATATTCAACGGCTAGAAATTTGCGCATATCCAGGGTTGCGAGGGTGTGGGGAGATGTTGTTCGTCGGCGTGAGTTCGGGAAGGTGGGGAAGAAAGCTTATCCGGAGCTTGCAACATGCCGCTCAGTTCAGCATTGCACCACACCACCACCGCGACATGCCTTCTCGTAAACTCAGCTATTGCTGTTCTCCTGGTATCTTCCCTCACTGCCCAGGCTGAATATATCCTTCCTCCCTTTGTGACCCTACCATGCATACCTCTGGACGATGCAAACACATCTGCTTCCGTAACCTGCGCACATACCTTTCTTCCTGAAGGAACTTGAACAACGCCAGGAATTACTATACCTGTTTCTGAACTCCTATAGTTACCATATCGCATCAATCAGTTCGTTAATATGGCCGCAGCATTAGGTACAAAACGCAGTTTTGCGTCGTTGGGCGACGATGATCGAGATGGCAACAATCTCTTTCGCCAGGACAACTTGGGACCGCAAGACATCACTACATTTAGAACTAGAGAATCTCACCAAAGGCGTATGCCTGAAGGTGGCACATGTAAGAAAGAATCGGTCGTTTGATCGGTCGCATATTAACGAGCAGCAGCGTCCACAACTTCTAGTGTCCGTTCCACCCCTCGCGCGACCCCCAGTCCTGGTCATCCAGAGAGCTTTGGCCGCCGAGCGTTCAAGACGGATGCATCTATAGTACTTCTGGGTATGCCTGGGACAGGTAAATCTACCCTGGCAGTCATTGCCTCAATGGCATGCAGACGGCGCATTATCGACATGGACAATATGTTCCTAGAGACCACAGGTTTCTCTACCGCCAAATACCGGAAACAATTCGGCCCTGCCAACTACAACTTGAGGCAGGAGGAGCTTTTGCGTACTGTTCTCCGTGAAGACGACCGTGGTTCGATCATTGTCTGCAATGGCGTTTCTCTGGAGAGAAAAAGTCAAGCTCTGTTGCAAGACTTTGGTAGAACACACCCGGTGATCCTTGTGCAGCGCGACCTTTCCAGTATACACAACTACTTGGGAGGGCCCGACTTACAGAGGCTCAAGGATATGCTATCTTTGACCGCGCCTGTCCTTCGAGCTTGTTCCAACTACGAGTTCTACAATATCTCTGAGATTAAGACTGCCAGCACCGATGCGCTTCCTGATCATCCAGTCGCTCCAGCATTCCTTACACTGAAGAGAGCACAAAGAACATTTCTCAAATTTCTGTCATTAATCACCACTCCCGAACATGCGAACAGTCCGGGTAGGATGGTTATACCACCACTGGAGCCTGGATACCCACTCGCCGATGTAGCGATCGAGCGTCGGAAATACACATGTGCAGTCCAGGTGTCAACAGAAGACATATTGACCGAAGATGCCAATATCCAGAGTCTTGAAGTTGGATCAGATGCCTTTGAGATTGTTCTTGATCTGAGCCAGAAAAGCCAGACTGCCGATCTCATGAACGATGTGAGCGCTTGCATGTCAAAAGTACGGAGAAGCACAGTGGTTCCCATCATATACCATGTGCTTCCCACATCAAGTGCAGATGGCAGTCGGACGCTTTATCTGCAACACGTATATCATGGGTTGAGACTGGCACCCGAATACGCGACTATCGACTTGTCGCTAGATCCTCGCGCGCTCGCCGATGTGATTGCCACTCGAGGTACCACCAGGATCATTGGCCATTTGCATACCGACAAGGCTTGGGATGACCACTTTTGGGTCACACAATACGAAATGGCTGTACGTCTGGGATGCTCTGTCGTTCGCTTCACTCGGCCGGCAACTTCTGTCGACGATGATATCTCAGTTCGCAGCTTCAGCTCTCGGATGGCAGCGCATGATTCCGGAGTCCCCATCGTCTGTTACAATACGGGAAGAGCCGGTCGCCGTTCAGTGTGTTTCAATCAACACCTTACTCCTGTCGTTGCAGTCTCAACAAGAGACAGCGCCAACGTCACAACATCGGTCGCGCAACACCCTCGCGACTCCTGGCTCACGGCTAAGGAAGTGACAAAAGCCCTCTACACTTCGTTCACGCTCGATCCGATGAAAATGTACATTATCGGCATACGCATAGGATACAGTGTCTCGCCTGCAATGCATAACCTTGCGTACGAAGCATGTGGCATGCCTCACGAGTTCATCCGCATCGAGAGTCCTTCGTTGAGCAGCCTCAAAGAGCTCGTGCGTAAGCCGAACTTTGGCGGCTCTATCGTCATCCAGCCTTTCAAGATGGAAGTGATTGCGCTCGTGGACTCACTAAGCCAACACGCTCGAGCTATTGGAGCTGTCAACACTGTCATACCTGTGCGCAGACGAAATCAAGATGGTAATCTTCCAAGTGACCTAGGGATCTTCCAGGAGCGCAACCAGTCTGGACCGATTCAGGCGCTCTACGGAGATAATACGGAGTGGATTGGACTTCGATCATGTGTACGAAGAGGCCTATCCCCTGCCAATGCAGTACGACCCACGTCCTGTGGGCTTGTCATTGGGGCTGGTGGCATGGCAAGAGCAGCTGTTTATGCGCTGCTACAGCTGGGGGTCATGAACATTGCCATCTTTAACAGGACGTACGAGAAGGCGGAAAGTCTTGTCGCGCATTTCAGCAGGCTTGCCCAATCCTCGGTAGGCACTTCATCGCCAAATACACCGAAAGGGCAGCCGAGTTTTGTGATTCTCAAGTCGCGAGAAGACCCATGGCCTGAGCATCTCCGTCAGCCTACCATCATCATATCATGTATACCCGCCGATCCGATAGATGATAGACCAGCAGCACATTTCACCCTTCCTGCACAGTGGATGGAGAGTGCCACGGGTGGTGTTGTGATGGAGACTGCCTACAAAACACTCAATACACCGTTGATGCAGCAAATGGTGAATGAACCCAAGAAGCTGTGGACATATATGGACGGTCTAGACTTTATACCCGAGCAAGCTTTTGCTCAGTTTGAGCTGTTTACGGGCAAGCGCGCACCGCGAAGGGTGATGCGCGAAGAGGCGTTGCGAGCGTGGAGAGACGAGCAGGGCAACAGCAATATGGAGATGGTGAGGAGGAGGTTAAAGGCGATTGATGATCAGGAGCCATAAGATTACAATAGCGGTGTATATGAAACAGCTACACTCTTATCTATCCCGTGATGTTAGGTATGCGACAGTGAATGAACACGAAGGAGGGTCAGTCGATCACTAGAAGCAAATAATGAGTGGTAGAGCTATATCACAAGTCGCAACTTTGTGTGACACCACTCGGCTCGGACCACAATCCCTGTCGCGATCGATTGCGCACGTGCTCGTGAAAGGCACGACGCGTCAATTGAGCGACACCAATTGCACAGCCAATACATCATCGCCTGTATCCACACGAAACACGGCATAACGACACGTATATCAGACTTCACCGCATTTAACGTATCCATCGCGACGCAGACTACTATGCACTATTTCGACCAGACTACTGCACGGCAATGACCACGCGCCAGCCCCTCCAACCGCTTTCCCCGCCGTCAGCCAACTTGGGCAATACACGTTACGCACACCTCGAAAGAGCCGCAACCAGTCGGAGAACCAATGGGAATCGCGCAATGGAGGAAAGAAACCACCACCAGGAGAATATGCACGACGCAGAATCCGTCGTATCCGGCCTGAGCTCACTAGAAAACGACGCGGATGAGTTTGAGAGACTGATGATACAAAATGAACGCGACGAGCGGCGCTTGAGTCAGGCGCTGGGCAGCAGACCTCAGGCCTTTAGGAAGGCGCGGACACATCCACGCGTGGGGCTGACGCTTGAGAACTTGGAGAGGAATAATGCGGCTGCTAGCGGGATGAGCGCGCAACCCAAGTTTGATAGTCCGCCGAGCAGTGGAAGCGCGAGGAGCGGGCCGGCCATACATGCGCCGGCCACTTGGGGGAGGAAAGGAAGGACCAGCGCGAGTTGGATGCGCACAATCACGTACGAGGAGGAGCAGCAACAGGCCGACGACGCGATGAACAACAACAGCCCGCTATCGCATAAGACGTCGATACATGGCACACCGCGCATCGACCAGTCGCAAGAATGGGACCTTACCTTTGAGCTCAATGAAGCTTCTATGATCGCATCCACGCCGTACATACCCAGGAGCACCAAGCTAGACGACATACGGCAGAGGGAGATTGAGGCCCAGAAGGAACAAGCAATCACGGCAGCCCAACCAGAGCGGGTACGCGAGCCCTCGCCAATACAAACAACCCGACGACCTCCATCTATGCGGACTCTCGACAGCGTAGCGGATAGCACGGCTACGGCCGACACAACAGCCCAGGCACAATCGTCGTCCAAAACGAGGCGCGCACGGACGAAGTCATGGCAGTTGATGGGAAAGTCGCAGCCGGTCACGGGTATGGGCAGTGAGGATCCGCCCGTGGCCATGTACAAGAGCGCTGAAAACATAGCTGCCGTGGATCGCGAAGTGATTGCGACAGCCAAGAATGGTCCCGCGAAGCGCATGCCATATCGAAGAGAGGACTCGCAAGATCTACTGCGTCGGTTAGCGAGAGTCTCAAATACACCAAGCCCACAACGCGTAGAACCGTCACGACCATCAACATCGGTAAACAGCTCGCAGACACTGCCTCCAGACGCGGAGCGCGCACAATCAGAAGATAAAGAGACCCCAAGCGAAGCTCCTGTACCTGCAGCCGAGTCCGAGCCCGAGCCTGCAGGGTCCAAGGCGGAATCGCTACCAGAGCAGGAACCGGAAGGTGCACCCCGTGAAGCTGAAGCTAAGGCTGAAGCTGAGCCTGAAGCTGAACAGCGCCCAGAGTCGTTACCGGACAATGACGCGGAATATGTGCACGTAGACGCTACACCACTTCCCAAAGAGCGGCCTGTCTTGAATGCAAAGACGCCAGTGGTGACTGGTGCTTGGGTGGACACCCCAGGTCCACGTACCACATCAAGACCCGTCACCAGCGAAGGCGCATCATCACGCTCACTTTCGCCCCGAAAGAGTAGTCCAAAAGGCAGTCTTCGCAGTAAAGCATCATCCGAACGACCCGCCTCAATACCCGAAGCACCAGAAGAAGCACCCCCAAACCCCCCCACAGGAGTCATCCGTCCCAAAGTCTCCACCTCCGCCCTCCAAGCCGTCGTCGACTCCGCAAAATCCCAGGGTCGAAGAGAATCAGCCGACTACGGCGACTCAACCATAAACTCCCTCGAAGAACTCATCACTCCTTTACCCAACAGCCCCCCGCCAGAAGAAGACACTCTCCAAGGCCTCCCCTTACCTACCAGCACCCCCCGCAACGAAGCCGAGCGCCAACGACAACAAGAAGCACTCCACCTCCACCGCATGGCCGACCACCTCCGCGCTACACGCACTAGCCTCCGCGACGCCAGCCGCGGCATGAAGCGCGTCGAGGACCAAATCGTACACGTGGAAGAAGGCGAGAATGGAGAAAGAATCGCTGTGATTAGTGCTTCTTGCCCATGTACCTCCTCCTTTCACCACATGCAAGCATTTTCAATGTGGCAATGGTGGAAAAGTCTATTCTGGGAACAAGAATTGAAAACGTCACGGTATACGTCGCATAGCGGGTGGAGAGTCTGCGGCGGACTTACGGGGTTGAGTATTTTTCTTATTGCGCTGTTTATGTGGTGGGTTGGTGAGGAGATTGCTTGGTACGTACACATCACCTTTCCATCCCATTCTCTGGCTGTACTAACAGTGACGATGTAGTGAAATATACTGTCACCCAACCTACGCATACTCGACCCCCTACCCCTTCAGTGTCCAACCAAACGCCCCCAAATACCCATACGTCATCCCCACGCTCGTCTACCGCTCTTGCATTCGCGATTGGTGGGTTCCCATCTCCTCTTTCTTCGGCTGGATCGCTACGACCATCTGGGGCTGTATTTTTGGGTTCCAGGATGCTGCACAGGGTGTGGGTGTTGCGTATGCTGGCGGCGGTGCTGCTGGGTATGCGGCGAGGAGCTCCGTCGGTGTGGGTGGTGGTGTGAGGGAGAATCGGTGGGTTAGTGAGGAGGCGGCGAGGTTGATGGAGGAGAAGGGATGGGAGGCGAGTATGTTTAACGATGAGGTGTTGGCGAGGGGGTGAGGTGTGATTGACTGTTGTGTTGTTTTGCATTAGTTGGCGCATGCTTCTTTGGTGTGTTTTTCAAGCGGGGCTCTCTCTCTCTTTTTGGAGGCATTTGGATTTGGCGCGGCGTTGTCTTTGTTGTTCTTGTACCTTGGATATGGATGGGGCGTTGGTGTTTGGATTTCCGTCTTACACACCCGGGGAGTTGGATACTTTCATGCTCCTCTTTCTCTCTCTCTCGTCCACTATCATTACCACTAGCTAGCTAGCTACACCATCCCTCATAGTTTGGATAAGAAACGCAGCACGCGCGCGCAGGCTGCTCAACATCAACATCAACATTAACACCACTAAGCCATCCATTATTCATCATCAACACCATCTCCCTCCTTCCACACCGCCGCCATAAACATCAACATGCTTTGTTAGATATCAACCCCCGCACCAGCTAACTTACCTTATCAGCACACTAGCGCCGATGCGCTCGCAAACGCGGGGTTCCAAGGCCCCCTGTACAACCAGGATGGGTAATTGTCTCCCCCACCTGTTGATGTCATGTGCGTTTATGGCGTTTATGGTCGCATACATATACGCCCCATGGAGGTTTTTATGGGCTTGGGGCTTGGGGTTAGGGGCTGGGGAAGATAAGATAAGCGATTGGGACGGTGACGGGTATTCATGGATAGGGTAGGTCGGTAGATTGGCGTGGATGTAGGGGTGTAGGGGTGTGTGTATGTATGTCAATAACACGCCCTTTGGGTGGGGACAACACTTGTATTCGATATCCAGTTTATAAGACAACGTCTGGTGTATTTGCTGTGTGTTCATTGTTATTGTTTTGTTGGGGAGTAGTAAACGCGGTAAAAGATGGGGTTTGAGTGGTATACACAGATTGGTGTTATTTTGCTGGTGGCTGTTTTGGGGGTGGGGGTGAGGAGATGGCAGAGGAGTGTGAAGGTATGTTTGTTCTACATTCATTCGGATGTTACAAGTCTATGTTTATATCTAGCGTTGCTGGTCTTTTATCTTTTTTTCCCATGAGAACAGATCAAAGAGGGATATACTAACATACACTCCCAGTCCGCCTCTCCTCCAACAACCCTCCACGACCAAAAACCCACCTCCAACCCCCACAGCAATAAAACAGAAACCTACACAACAATCACTCCCCTCACCCCCTTCCACCTCCCCACAACACACCCCCTCCAACTCCGCCCCTTCAAGCCAAAATACCACCTGACCATGGCCCTGGAAAACTGCCCCCTATCCTCCCTCCTCGAACTCGACAACACCTACGCCGCTCGCCTGGTAGAACGACGGCGGATCATCACGACTGAACGTCATGAAGTATTAGGTGTGACGCCAGAGGGAGAGGGGGCTGTGTTGGAGTTTTATGCTTGGATGGTTCGTGTGTATTTACCGGGACGGTGGCCTGGTGTTTATGCTGTTGAGGATGCGAAGGGGCTGAGGAACACAGTAACAGGGGATTTATTACCGTTGGATGTAAATGGCGATGTAGAGCTGGCATTGGAAATCCTAGGTGGGAATATCGACACGGAGTTTCTTTTCCTCCTCCCTTCATCCACCCCTTCCCAGCCCACATATCACCTACGCTCCTACATCAACACCTCTCCCGCCGGCTTCTCAACCCGCTCCAAGCTCTCCCTCTGCCTCTCCGCCATCCACAGCCCCGTCCCAGGCTACGCCGCTAAACTAGAAAAAAGCATGGATCGCTTCTTTGCGAAACTGCCGGTTGGAAAAGTGGTCAAAAGGGCGAATTGGAGTGTTAGTATGAAGGGTGAGTTTTTCTGCTTAAAGGGCGCGCATGGGGGGGTTAGGGAGGGTGAGGAGGATGATGGGGATGGGGAAGAGGAGGAGAAGGTGGATTTGAGGACGACGTTTTTGAGGTGTGAGAGACAGACTTTACATCGGCTTCCTGTGACGGGAGCGGTGGTTTTTGCGTTCAAGGTATGTTGGCATTTGTCCTTTTTTTTTGGAGACTTTGCGGTTGTGGGGAGAGAAGGCTGACGCGTGGTAGACGTACATGTATCCGCTTCAGCAGCTGAGGGATGAGGGTAGTGGCGAGGTGCTTGCAGAGGCGATTGATGGGCTGAGATTGGGGAGTGTGCCTGATATGACGGTTTATAAGAAACAGGATGTTTGGGGGGAGAAAGTCAAGGCGTTTTTGAGGGGGGAGATTGAGATTGATGGATGAGTTGGACATGGGATGTAGTGATGATTTTGTCTTGTGTTTGGTTGATCCTCTCAATCGAGGTATTTTCGACTTCTATCAATTCATCGTGGAACAGTCGTGATATCGTATTTTCCCATTCCTTGTGCACCTTTGTCTTTGCAGCTCCTGAATATCCACATACCCTCCTCCCTCGCTCAAATACCCCATTCACACCTTCTACGCCTTCTCCTCCGCCTCCGGATGCCCCACCGGCACCAACTTCCCCACTACCAAATACTTCTCCTCAAACCTCTCCTCCCACCCCCTCAACGCCTCCATCTTCTCCGCATCCAAATCCTCCAACGTATCCAACGGCCCATCAAGATCCTTGGTCAACATATCCTCGTCAAAACTACCACACGCCAGCCCACGCGACGCATCCCTCCCCGCAAAATTTGCATATGGTCCCCCCGGGCCGTAGAAATTGCGGCCGGCGGTTACGTCGAAGACGCGGCCTCGCACGGCCAGGTACACGGGCATGTTGTTGAGGCCGTTGTAGGGGAAGAGCGCGGGGGGTGTGAAAGTGCGGAAGACGGTGGCGGGAGGGGCGCGGGGAAGTGTTGGGGGAGCGGCGGGTTTGAGGCGTAGGTAGACTAGGAAGGCGAAGAGGGAGAGGAGGACGAGGTTGATTGGGGTGAATACCGAGGCACTGGAAGAGGGGTTAGTCGGAAGGTTGTTTAGATGGGTGGTGATATGGGTTTTGCGTACGCGTGTGTTGCCGCTGGTTCCGGGATGGGAGATGGGAGAGCTGGGTGTTGTTAGTTTGGGTGGTGGAGGTGGTAGTGGTGGGGATTGTACCGTCTGCCATTTTGAAGTGGCTTTTGCTGTATCTCGATGTGACTACGAGGTTATTCGCACTATGTTGTCAAGTGCTTGCGGGCGTTCGCACAACTCGAGGTGACATAGTGGTTACCGCATCGAGTAAGATAACGGGAGTGCGGCCCGTGCGTCTTGGGTGGGGCATCGGATGTTCTCAGCCCCCGATATGTACTTGTACTTACTCGCATCCATCTTCCTTAGTATCCATGCTACCACTGATTTTATTCATATCTTATGCGATACTGTGACCGATGAGATTATTTAGTACTCGCCCCGATAATAACGGCAATATCAAGGGGCATTCACTTCGTGCTCGGGTGTTCAGCAGCCCGTATGCTCTCCGACACAGGGAAGTCTTCCTTGTCCAGCATCTGAAGGACTAAGATACTGGATCTCTTGGACATGGAATTATTCCAAAGTCCATATAGCTCAAGCGAGAAAGCTTCGTTCCCTGATTATTTCTAAGCCTATCGGTCCATCGCCCACCAGCCACTGGGCGAAAAGATACGTCTGTCACTTAGAGGCCTTCAACGGGGGCTTGATAATAGCATAGGGCTTAGGATGAAGCGGACAGGCTGTATAAGCTTTGGAGGTAGTGATAGAGTTTTAATTTCGAGGAGAAGGGCATACAAGAAGCTGGAGAAGCTGGGCATATTTGTCCTCGTCATGACTGCCTCGATGGAATTACAGTCTATACTTTATCGGATTAGAACTGCCAATCGCCTCGTACGAAACGATCATTGGCACTAACTGGGATCGGTGTTTGGAGTGTGCTTGAGCGTGTACGGACTATACGAGTGGCAATCTAGACACAGGACTCTGAAAAAACAGATAGAGTGGGCCGGAAACCTAAAGACATCAGCGCATTCAGCCAGCGTCAAAAGATAACTTCAAGACTGCCGGTGGCTGTACTGCTATAGTAGTAGCCGTTGTGATATGGAGAGAACATGGTAGATTTGCGGGAGAGTTGCACCAACGGCTGCCGGCCGAGGCACCCCACAACGTCGCTGCAGCGGTACCTGGTATATGGCAAATCTCCGCACGGAGCATGCATCACCTAGTCAGTGTTTTACAGATACAGAGACACGATAATTAGATATTGCCATCTGTATCTGCTGAATCTCCATCCTCATTGCAGTTTCGGAAACGGGTTCCGAGTGCAATGTGTCCGTCAAGGGGAGGTGGTGCGGCACAGCTACCGAGGTCATGTTATCAGTCTGACAGTGACAGTCGGCACAGTTTCTACAATCACTCAGTCAAACAAACAAGCCATCTGTTCAATCCGCCTTTGTGTTCTTTCACAAAAAGTCGCATTCTAATCTTACATAGTTTGGTTCGCACAAACCTGAGGAACCCGCCGTACATACCCACCCCGTGCATCCCTGCCCTATCTGAAACCCGTGCCTGAAACAGCGCCTCAGCGATTCATCTCCCCCACTTTGGGACGGCCTGATTCGCCCACGCCGCCCCTCGCACAGCCTTTTGCACATTCAGAATCTCGAAACAGTCGGGCAAAGGCGCTTCGCTGGCGCTGCCTGAAAGACCAAGACGTGTTGCGGCACCGGTGCACCATCTTGCCGCCGCGTGCGTTGGAGGTGGCGCAGTGTTGAGAGATTGTTTGTGCTCTTTGGAGAAGTACTTTTTTCGGTCAGCACGGCAGGAAAACTGAGATACTTTTACCTGCACATCGCGTCTACTTTGGGTTGGCTTTTTGATTGATCGTCCTCCTTTGTTCATTTTACCAAGATTAAGGCCTGGGGAGTGGCTGTATCGCCTGAGGGGATACGAGTGATTGCTACCGACACGCGGCGCCGTCATCAATATCACCAACAACAGCTTCGCTGTCACTTGTCAACACTACCAACTCGCGTTACACTGATATCCGCCGGTATGTATAGAGTTTCTACTATCATGTCTTTTTCTGCGCGTCGGCTCCTCACCTCTTCTCAACTTCACCGACTCGATATCGCACTCGATATACGTGCAAACCAAGAGCAAAAGCGTGTAATTTCGGGCCGCCTATGCTTGTCAGCTTGAAGACAGGGCACTTTCGATACACATCTCTACTGCGACAGAAATTACGACTTATTGTTGCCATCCGTATGTTTGTCTGATCGACAGACGGTGCTCTCGCCTATCTTCAGCACCGACTGCCGATTTCGCCAACTCACTCCGCCAGGGATCTTGATGCGATTAACCTTTGGTGTATGCATGGTGCTCACTGGCGTTCCATAAACAACAACAAGTCTCGGTATATAGTTTCGATGAGCTGACGTCGTGGTCTTGTGCAATTTCTCATGCTCATGCACATTTGAGCAAAACGTGGTAGGGCTAATATTGTTTCATGCAGGCCATCGTTATGTGGAAACGATTACAGGGTCACGTCCGCGAGAAAGAGAGACCTTCGCCGGTAGGACACCCTGTGCTTGTTGAAACCACGTATGACGAGGATCAACTCAGGCGGAATCGACATGTGACGGACGCGCAAAATGGCAGTAACAACGACTATGCGTTCCCCCCGCTGCCGTCATAGTAAGCACCCAAACTCTTTTAGTCTACGCGGCCGCTGATCGTTATGTAGTCAACTGTCTCCTCAGTACACACTAAACTATCTGTCCGCCGAAGCGCAGTCTGCGTCGATTTACTCCCAACCCTCGCCTAATCCGTACTCATACGACAGCCCAACCGCCCCTTCTTATTCCACCTACGACGACATTTCACCCCCTAGCTCTCCAGAACCCGACCGAGAGTATTCCTCTTCTTCAAACGCACCCCGGCGGTTCCGCTCGATGCGCGACGTGTCGCCAATGGACGAAAACCGCAAGCAACTCGAAAGAGAAGGTCACGTAGTTAGCCACATTCCCGTTTTGCGCCGAGCGCCATCAGTCCTTCGAAATGGAGAATCAGCAGTGCCAAAGCAAAAGTTTTGGGATGTAAAGCTTGCACCGAACAGCAAGGTGAAATGGGACGAGTATTCAGGCGAGCCTAACATGGCAGGTAAAGCTGCATCAGTCGATCCAGGCTCTTACGCAAAGGGCGCGCCAACTCAGCCGATGGGTTATCAAGTTTCAGTAACGGCAGGCGTGCCAGAAAAGGGAAACACTGGTTTTGGAGCCCGCGTAGGCCGCTTCGGGTCCAAACGTATACCACCGCCCGTCGAGCCGTTTGCACGCGCAACAGGACGATCTGAAATCGCGCCTCCCCTAAAATACCAACCCGCGAGCAAACCAGTACAAACGTCACGCAAACCAGTTCCACTAGGCCAAGACCGCGACAACTTAAACGCGCTTGTACCTACGATTGAATATCCCATCAAACTTGGTGACACTCGACTCGTCACGTCCGAAACGCGGGACGTGGAGGCGCATAACGAGCAACCCATCAAACCCACGGTTCCGCTTAAAGTCGGAAGGAACTCGCCTTCACGAAATGATCTCGGCTCGCCCACATCTCCTACACATCAAGGCCTTGGAATCTCTGCGCTTGCATACTCAAACCCGGTTATCGAGACAAACACGGCGCCACAGGACCACCAACCCTTGCACCCTGCCTACCGGACCGCAACACCGCCCTACACAACCGCAGCATCCAAGTTGCGCGACGAAAACAAGTACAACAACGACCCTGAAAGCCGATTCTCGTGGACCACCTACGACAGCAACCAAACATACCAGCAATCGCCATACCAACACACGCACTCGCCCCCACCCTCACCCCCCGAACCACCCAAACAATCCCAACTAGAACCCCAACGCATCCAAACCCCTCCTTCAACAACAAAACCCTCATCAACCCGACCACTACCACCAACAACAAAAGACTCGATCCTCTCCCGCCGCCGTCCCATCCCCCAAGCAAACATCCTGCCCCCCACCCCCCCAAAACAAACAATGACAGCCCACCCCCTCCTCTCGTACACCAACACAAACACCGGTCTCTCAAAAGCCCTTCCACAACCCCCCACCCACCTCTCTGCCCTCGACCACATCCAACTCCTCGAATCTCAACAAGACGACCTGCGCATCCGCCGGAACAATGTGTACCGCTTACTCCGCGATCTGAACAATGCCGCGCCCCCGAACCCGCTGCTGACGGATTTCAAAAAGGCGAGGGTGGCTGAGCAGAGGAAGAAGGCGTTTGAGGCCGAGCTTGATCAGATTAGGCAGGAGGAACATGATGTTGGGCTCAAGTTGCATCGGGCGTGGAAGAAGCGGGAGAGGGAGGATCCGCATTCGGCGGGGAGTGCGCTGTGGGTGAGGAGGGTGACTGCTTGAATTGAGAAGTCGTGACGTAGGGGATCTTTTTTTGGCAGTTATGTCTCTTTTGTTTTCTTGTTCTTTTGTTGTGAGTAAACATGACATACGTACGCGTATTGAGAGAGTGTACGATGTTTGTATTTGAGATACAGAGAGAGCCTCTTTTCTATATTTTCACCTTTTTCCTTTTCCTTCTTTCGTTTCCTTTCTCTGTTTTTCTCGGAGTTTTTTTCTTCTTTTCTTTTCTACTTTCACACACATGGTTGGAATCCAGCTGCAGTTGCTTGCAACCCGTATAAAGGCTGGGTTACTGATTATTATACACACTTGATTGGGACATCAACATCACTTGTGCCATGTAGACATGGTATGTAATCGAGTTATGTGATTGAAATACAATACACCATCGGTGATGAGCATCATGCTCTTTCCTTCATATAACCCGTGTTTCCGTCGAATCGAGATGCCGCATAGACCGGCCACATCAGCCATCCATAAAAGCACCCCTCCAAAATTATAATCTGCCACCCATTGCAGTATGCACATATACACGTCAGCCCATCCCAAACCCGTTACCCCGTTGGGACATGTTGCCATATTCCCGAGTCGATGTATAGTCGAGAACTTGGAATGAGTAAAGCCATGCGACTGATCCGATGACCGAAAACCATACAGCAAGAGTACGCGCTATGCGACTGGCTCTTGGTGAAACAGTTCCCGTCGTCGAACTCGTCGGCCTCTTAACTGAAAGCCCCTGTTGTTAATTGTCCATACTCCGAACACCATAACCATGCACCCGCTGACCCAATCCAATGCCATGTCCCCGTAACCTCACAATATATCCCCGTAACCTCATGTGAAAGCAAGCAGACGCTAAAATCAAAAAAACACGAGCAGCGCTGAAATCCACATTGCTTAACTTACCGACGAAAAGGACCTGATGTACCGGCTGGCGTACCGCGCTTCATCATAGGTGGCTTGACGATGGCAGATTTGAAAGTCGAGGCCTTTGGCGCAGTGCTCTTGGCGGCAAAGAACTTGTGGGCGAGAGCTTCCTTGGGTGAGATGCGCTTCTCGACGTTCATGTGCAGGCTTGCACTCAATAGATCGGCTAGATCGTTCAATTCACCGACAGTAGGTCCTCCGTTGGAGATGTTTCGGGCAGCTTCATGAACACGTGTCTTCATGTCGCGATTGATCTTCTTCTGCTGTTCAATCTTACGAACAGAGAGCTTGTTGAACTGGTCGATCTCACGGCTGATGAACTTGAGTGGCGGACCAAGTTCGAAGTTGTCAAGAATGTTGTTGACGAGACCCTTCTTCAGCAACTTCTCGCTGGGCCATCCCAAGCAGTCCATGAAAGACTTGATCATCTGGTTGTTGGAACGACCGGTGAAGAGAATTTTGCCGGTCCAAAGCTCGTAGACAGTGCAGCCAACAGCCCACATGTCAACAGGGTAGCCGACTTCCATACCAAGGATAATCTCAGGCGCGCGGTAGAAGCGACTGACGAGATACTCGGTGCGTTCAATGATATCTCGCTTGTCGACGGCGGTACCGAAATCAGCAAGCTTAATCGTCTTCTTATCAGCCGAGACTAGAACGTTGTCAGGCTTCAAGTCGAGATGAATGACTTGGCAATCTTGTAGATGCTGGAGACCGAGAAACATCTGGCGGGCATAGATGCGAACGGCAGAAAGCGTAAGACCGTGGCCATTAGTTTCCTCTTTGAGCAGGTCTCGCAAATTCTTTGACATGTGCTCGAACACAATACACAGATGGCCCTTGTGGTCGAATGAGCCTAACAGACGGATAATGTGGCGCTTGTCCTGCGGGTCTGCCTCGTTGACCTTGCGCAAGAAGTCCATTTCCTTTTGACTAGCCCTCCTCATTAGGTCGTTACGGCGAATCATCTTGATAGCAACGATCCTCGGATTGGCATCCCCGTTGATCTCTTCGGCTTGTGCGACGTTGGCAAAGACACCACGGCCAAGGCCTTTGATCATACGGTACCGACCACAATCTACCAGCTCATTGCTAATAAGCTTGTAGTAGCCCTCGGGGTCGTCCCAATTGTCCAGCAGCTTCTCATCGAGCACAGTTCCTTTCGCGGCGACACTGGTCTCAGCCTCGACGTCTTCCTCCTCTTCCTCATCATCTGAGGCGAACATGTCAAACTCCTTTTTCTGCTTCTTGACAGGTGCCACCTTCTCGGCCGGTAGAGTGGAGAGTGCTTTCGGGTCGGTCTCGTTGTACGCAGCTGATGACAGCTCAGGCTTCTGATTCTTCTTGGCTGCGCGATCGCGGTCGTCTAGCATATCCTGCAATGGATCGTAGTCGGCCGCCGATGGGCTTGCTGCAGCAGGACTGGTGCCCGCACTGTATCCACCTTGCTTGTCAATGACCATGACATCTGGAGATGCGGGCACGGAATCAATGTCGCCATTGCGAGGCGAGGCGAATGGCGAGATGGGACTGTCTGCAAAAGGTGGTGGTGATGCAACGTTAGAGGTGTTCGCTTCTGAGGCATTAGTGAGGACAGCCTGTTGGAGCAGGTTCTCCTTGGGCTTCTGTTCAGCAGCTGCACGTATAGCGGCCCAGCGACGACGCTTCTCCTCACGCGATTCTTCGGTAGGCACCTTTTCTTCGACAGGGGCTAGGGTGTAATCAATGGTATCCTCGACGGATTTCCTGTTACCAATGTTAGTGTTCATAGAGGGGCTGATAGGCGGCTTGTTTACTAACATCTCAACATCCTCGCTCGCTTTCGGCTGTGGTACGGGTGCTTTTGTGCCATTGGGGGTTGCCTTTTGCTGCTGCTTCTCAAACGGCCGGAGTGACTTCTGATTCTTGTCATTCTTCTCGTACTGCTGCTGTTGACCGTAGCGCTGGTTCTGGCGCCGGTTTTCTGTAGGCTGAGCGTTCCTAAAGTCAGGCACCGGGTTCGGGTTCTCCACCTCAGCGTACGAAATGGGCTTTGCACGTGATCGGTCAGTGACCTCGTTGCTCTCCTTTACAAAACCTCCTGGAGGCGGGCCCGAAGGTCCAGCACCCCTACATGAATCACCGTATCTACCACGATCAGCATGATAGCGCTTGTCGGGGTGACCGCGCGGCGGGGACGCCTTGCGCTTATAGCCCCTTGAACTACTTCCAGCAGGCTCTGCTCGGGGTCGTCGGTAGGGCGAAGGCGAACGGTCAGCGTTGCGGTTTCGGCGGTATGGCGATGGAGACCTTGAAGGTGTGCGCTTGCGGCGGTATGGCGAAGGAGAGCGGCTCAATGGGCGGTAGTCATCACGGGCACCATCCAGTCCATAGGACCTGTTTGCGCCGTTAATGGCAGTTTCGTTGTGCGATTTGGCGATGTTTGCCTTATGTCGGGTTTGCAGCATGTCACCCGCCGAAGCGGAGCTTGATTGCGACATGTCAATCTTCTTTCCTTCCACGCTGTTTCGGATGCTGTCGCTGTGGCTGTCTTCAGAGGAAAGTTTCTAGGCGTCAGCCTGCTTCTTATTGATGCGCTAATCAAGTGTCTCTATCACTGACTGTGTGAAGAAGAGACGGGTGCAATTGCACCGCTGGAGGGAGGAGGAAGTGACGCGTCGGTGAATGGGGAATTCGGCTGTAGGGTGTCGTGGTGTCGCGACCGGTTCGCGATACAGCGGGGAAAGTGCAAGTGCAAATGAAGTCAGAGCTTGAGATTACGAAAGCACATCACGTGATTTATGTCAGCCTTGCCAACTTCTTTCCCACGTGTTTGTACGTCTGGCCATTTCAACTACATGCGAAGCAGGTTCAGAAAGCGACTTTCGCCATGTCATACTGCGCATCTCCCGGCACTGTGGTTAAAAAATCTCTTTGCTTTTTTTCTCCCATGCTTGCTTTTTCTATCTGATGAAAGCCACGTCGCACAACGCTCTCGATATGACGATCTCTTATCAAATCAACGAACCTGTCGCAACGGGATCACCGACGTCGGTTATAAGTCATGGTGGTGAATACTGATCAAGCTGACCGCCCCCTGCCGTTATCGCTTCGGCACCCTCTATAACCAACTAACTCCAATCCATGTCACAGGTTGAATCATGACATGTCGGCCGAAGGCGCTGGCTTTCATGAAAGAATCCCGTAAAGAGAAGTATACAATACCAACTCGATTACCTCGGCTGGAATGCCCCATTCAAAGTCGGTCCACGATAGCACCAATCAGGCTACCTGTGGATACTCGTTAGAAACTCAGAAATACGACGTGACATACTGGCGATGACTCGAGTACCATGTGGAGGAAGGAAGTGTTGGTAGCGGTGTGATCATCTTATGATTCAAGTTCTGCACGTACACCGACAAATCATGACTCTAAAAGAGGCGCGCGACAAACTCTCCAGACCCTGGGTAAGAGAGACTGCAGCAACGTAACACAACATGTCGAGGAAGCGGAACCGCTGCGTCCCTGGAAATAATATTACGCCGGAAATGTCAGACTTCAACTTCATAAGAAAGCGCCTCTTTCGGTTCTTAACCCGCTCACCCACTAACGGGGGGCAAATGAAAGACAGGCTTAGTTTGCGCTTTTCTCCGCCCTCTTAGCTCTACAATGATCGGATGATCATCCGCAATTAAGATTCGCGAGCCGTTCCATGTAACAGTAGCATGCACGGTAGTGCTTTGGCAAAGAACGGAGGCGACGTTGGGCAAAGGTGGCGGCGGCACAGCCGTCCTAAACAACACGGCACAGTCATCTAGCCACACCCGCGGAAATATATCGACCACGATCACCTTTTGCATCCAAGGATAAGCTTGGAAGAGGCGGATATAAGGGGATCAGCTGCCGAGACGGACGGGTGGCCGTATAATCGCTTGACAGACAGCCCACAACCATGCTACTTACACAGCCCACATGGATGGCGATATGCGGAGCTGGGCACGCCGGAGGTGCTCTCCCCTACGCGGTGAAATGCTTCAGTCCATCAACTTGATGATTGCCAAGGCGGGTTCTGAAGCGCATAGTAGTAGTAGCACAGCGAAACCTCGCCGTCTATCGAAACGCGGATCTACCTCGAGAGTCAGACCTCTTGAGCATCCGGTGTATGTAACGACCCTAGTCTCATCTCCCATCGAGATCGTGTGTATGGGTGTGTTGCATGGGAGAACAACATGTCCATGGTGCAGGCGCATCACCCGTTGCTTATGCGGGACTGGAACATGCATGGTATGATCTGCGGCAAGTTAATATACCCGCGTGCCATAAGCCCGCATGAGCATGATTTTTTTTTGAAGGACAAGTAAAGTAACAAATGACGCACTCCCGTAGCGGAGGGGGGAGGGGGGTCAGCCACACCATCCGTCCTCCGGAGACTCCCATAGTAGCTCCCCTTACGCCTGTCACCGAAGATCTTCGGGGTCTGATGAACCCTGACTGTTGAAGCTTGCCTATGGCTCTTCACCGCCCAACTGAATACACCGGAGATGCGTCCACGCTTGCTGACAAGCTGAAAACAATGACGAAACGGTTGGAGCCATGGAACACCCTGGTATATGCATCTGCGCCAAACTATTGGGTCACACGATGGAGATTACAAGCGAGTAGCCGGGGACTTTTCTCAAGAGGAAATGAGCAGAGATACACAGAGAGACAAGGCCCAGGTCCAGACCACGATCCATATCCTCCGCGCGTTCATCACTTAAACGCCAGACCTTAGCACTCCTTCTTTTCCCACTTACACCCTGGCGCACGTGTACAGTAGATGGAACTAGACCATCTTTTTCCAATTTAACCAATTGTCTACGTAAGTGTTTTTCCAGGGCTGGGTGTAGGAGAAGGAGAAGGCGACGACGTCATTTGGGATCGGTCAAAGGCGGCGAATGATGGAACATACCGTTAACCATCACACCCCCTCAATCAGCATTGAAGCCAAGGTCCCGTCGCAGGGACATTTCCGCCCTACGGTATATGCCAAGATGAACATCCTTAGTCGTTTCTGATACTATGAAGTACCGTGTATAGTCATAATACTGCCGCCAACCTACGATCTTGGATCCAAGCAGAAACACTGACTCTCCGTACTAAAGTGCACGGGAATCAAGCTTAGCCCTTTGAGCAAATGCCTTGACAGTTCTTGCATGGCGCTTTCTGCTAAACTTGCAACAACAAGTCCGTCTGCATTTGGCAAAAACCACCGCAAAACGCTCCCGCTCTCATAGTCTGAGACAACACGATACCTAGCTGTAGTCGACAACAAGCGCGCGAAAGCTAGCGCAGCACATCCCCTAGGAGCCGCAAGCTCACCCTCCACACACACGCCCTGCGTGCCCGCTTGTGCAGACCCAGAGTCATGCATCACCGCGAAGTTCACGAGATGCATTCGCTGTCTTGTGTGAAGATACCTAGGTGTAGGTAAACAGGATAGCAAGCCCACCTCAACGGCCCCGCTTTTTCTTTTGTACGCATGACTCAGCCCAATCCGCCTCTTGCTCTGCCCAGGCATACAAAAAAAACAGGGTAGCGACATGTGTAGCGAGCAGTAAGCCAGACCCAGCTTCAGGTCAGGTCGGCGAACACCAACACCAGCTTGAAGGAAAAAGCAAAAGCAACACCAACGACGACGAGGTGAAACGTAGAAATTCTAGAACAAAGTAGCCCTATTGCTATTGCGTCTGTTTAGCAACCGTTTTTTGGGCTGTATTGGCTTGTCGTATTGGTGTGGAGGCCGTGATCACGTTTCCATACCTACGGCCAAAAGGTCGGCGAGTTGAGTTCAATGCACCATTAGGTCATCCTCATCATACGAAGGTGCACCGGTTCAGTCAGCCAGTGCAGACCAGTCAGCCGAATGATACCACGATGATCCAAGGAAGAAAACCGTAAACAATATTACATCATTCTCAAGTCGAGGGGTTCCTGCTCTTCCCCCTCCCTACACATACTTTATGATACATACAACCAGTACTCTACAACGCCCATCGGTCTACTGTGGTGCAGCAAGTCCTGTCCAATGACAAAGTTCCCATAAAACACACTTCCGGTGGAGAGGGGTCGACATGCCTGTTTTGGCTAAGCTCCCGCCAGCCTCCCCAAGTGCCAGTGCAGGGCAGTCTTTCGCTCGCTTCAATAGTTTAGTTTGTTGGAAATACCTGATTGAAAGCGCATGGTTGCTCCCTTCCCCTTCGGATAATCATGGGTTTGTTCGAGGCAGGCGGCGGCGGTGGATTTTGTCAGAGATTGACCGAGCAGACAAGGTCTAAGGTACTGGTGGTTTGGCCAAAGCATTGACGCCGGGTCTTGCCAGCAGGGTCACCGTACGAACGTAGTGGCATGTAGACTTATCTAGATACCGATACGAACGACGGCCTGACAAGGCCAAACCATTTGGCAACACGTGAGAGGGAAAGGATCTCCGGCGCCGTTTTCTTGTCTTGCATTGCATCTCCTCCCCTCGCCGCCAAGGTATAGTTCGGCCGAAGAAGCAACAGGCAAGTTAGCAACTACTGATTACTGCATGGAAAGCAGATTGCCAAGACCCGCTGGCGCAATCGTGGGTAAGAAACAAAGCAAAGCCGCAAACCGATCTGGCTTCTGGCGGCATGAGAAAGGCAGTGGCGCGCCAGCGCTTTTGGTGGCGGCGCTTTCTTACCCTAATGCGCATGCGGGAGAGCATGTTCCTGAGCAGTGCCCAGAAGGTCTAGCTGATGGGAACCCTGGTTGGGAGAAGCTACTGTATGTCGGTTCTATAGCATCCGAGCACGAGCACCACATTGTGAGCGCGAGCTGTACGTTCGTCGTGCCCCCCTCCCAGAGAAAAAACTTGAACACTAGCAAAACTCAATATCGACGTCATACCCCAGCTACCGCACCCATGGCTGGCCCTTTCATCTTTCTTGCTGAACGGTTTACGTCGGTCTGTTTTGCCCCAGGGCATACCCTGGGAATGGGGATGAAGAGTTGCGGAAGCCGCCTTGGAGAAGCTCAGCAAAGCGGGCAAGGGCATCGCAACGCAACGCTTCAAAGCAGCCAACCCTCCGCACGCCTATCGGACCGACTCCGATATTACCGTCCCCCAGCTCCGATCAGTTAACGAATCCACCCTTCTTGCTAGGCTCGTTTTGCAGGCTGTACCTAAGAACAGCCCACACCAAGGCGGGACCAGTTGTGTGTTAGACTGGGAAAGGGAGCAAAGGCGGGTTATGGCTAAGCCCAGCAGTTTCCGGCACTGGCAAAGGCCTCGAACTTTGGTTGCAAGGCGAGCCCAGAGGATCTGCCGCACGTCACTGCGCCAGTGGGTAATGCAAAGTGACGATCGACAGGCCTTGCCATGCACAACCTAACCGTACCTATGTTTACACTCGACGAAAAGGGAGGGTCCGAGAATTCAACCCAGCGCTCTTTTGCAATAGCAAAATGCCGGTCATCGGATGTTGTAATATGGGTGCCATGTGGAAAAAACTTCTTCCCTTGGGTGTTAAGTTGTATGTAATAGCCATAAGCGGCCAAGATGAATGACATGCCACTTTTTACCACGTCTTTGCAGCCAGGAAAAAACCCCGCGGTCGGCTTCGTTTGCTTTTGGCAAGCAGTGGTCTTGCTAGAAAAGCGGCCGTTCTAGCCTAGTCCAACAGTGCCGTCCGCTAACCCGATTTCCCCGCGGTACGTTGGCTGTGTGGTGCGCTAAAACACTAGGTCCAGCTGCATCCGCAAGCCTGGTGTTTAGATGGGCGACGCTTTTGAAGCTTCGTTCCAGCTCTATGCGTTGCCTTGTCAGCAGATTTTCCGACACAAGCACCAGGAGGTTCCCCTTCGGGCACTAATGAACCTCAGGCTCTAATTCTCGACTCTCTCTCTTAATGCTCTAGTCGAGGAGAAAAAGGGATATACAAACTTAATCCCCGACATGTATTGCGCATCTTCCATGTGATTTTTTTTGCGGGACCAGAAACTCTTTCCCTTTTTTTTATACCTACCACGGCAAATCATCATTACTCTTACTTCCTTACACCGACATAGCTCGTTTCGTTGAAAGCTCCGCTCTGAGATATGCTCGCATTCATGCCTGCACAATCATCGAATTCTTCTCCGGGTACGTCGGCTGTAATACACAACACTCAACCTCCGCTGCCGCTAACACTTTCACCACAGGATTAAACTACTGGTATGGCAGTGGTGGCAGTCTTCCAGACGCCCTAGAAGGTCTCCCACCAAATAGCTCAAACCCACGCTTGATGCGTCGTGCTTCGGAAGCTGTGGTACAGGCGTCAGGAATACAGATGTGAGTATGGCCATTCCTACTACACCTTTCTCCCCACCCGCCCCGGCCATCTACGTGGCAGCACAACAGGACCTTCCTGCCGTCCCGGAACCCAACTGGCTGCCCCTCGACGGACCCGTTAGTCATTCAACCAAACAGCCTCCAGCTGCCCACGAGGACCTCACAATACTACAAACAACAACTTCACTACGCCTTGCGTCTGGCTCAAACACAAATCCGTCGGTCGCAGCGAAGCGAAACGTTTCTAGGTACTGGTACGATCCAGAGACGCCAAGGGATATACGGAAATCGTGAGCAATCGTTCAACTGATCCACCTCCACTTTCGGCCAAGATCTGCAGCCCATCTTACGTGCTTCTCCGCGCTGGGTGTCTCTGGATGCTCACTTGAGACACACGAAAAAACGAGTCCGTTACATGGCTTACCATTGCGGTAATTTGATCCAGCTTGTGGATCCGTTGGGTCACAATCATGACACGTCCATTTGCACATTTCCAAGGTTCCTTCTGCCGTGTCGGCTCCAGTTTCGGGACGCGAGAATCTTTGGGCAGCTTGCGCGGGGTCCTGAGCACCATCATCAACGGCGCGCATTATTGAACGAAGACCTCAACCGGATAAGATGCGCAATCTAGACGCATCAGCGCGACGACGCACAAAACGACCGGGACCGCCCGGTCTACCGAAATCATAGTTCGGAAACAAGACGCCGATGACAATGACGATTAGGAATTTTGATTGCTGACATTTTGTATCAGCCAGGAGCCCTCCGAATGGGATGAAGGCCAAGGATCTCTCCACCTTGATACCAACCGAACCAACCTTGTGATTCGCCCACAGGCAGCGTCCGCCGCTGCAAATCACAAAGCCCCGCTGGCACCCAAGCAGGGTCTAGGGGGCGCCCTAGCAAACGCTCGGGGACAGCATCATTCTCCCATTGCCGGCACCTACGCACTCCGAACCCCTCGCGGCAAAATCACATCCATAGCATGTGAGAGCTGCAGGAAACGAAAGTCAAAGGTTCGTGATGATGTGGATTAGGAAACGCCGTAGTGGGGCACAGCTGACACATGACACAGTGTGACGGCGTGAGGCCAAAATGCAACACTTGCCAATCAAAGAACCTCACATGTGTCTACGACGTGGCCGAAGATGGCAAGACGACGACCCAACTGCGGGCCCATGTGCGGCGGCTTGCCAAGGAGTTGGAGGATATGAAATCCATTGTGTCGTTGCTGGCCATGGCTCCGGATAGAGTGTCGGCAGCGAGCTGGGCATCCGAGCTCGAGAGAAACGGTTTCGCACACCATTCCGCCGAGGATATTAAAAAGGCTCTTTCGGTAAGCGGTGTCCCGGCTTCCGGTGGGACGCGTTTGACAGGAAATCAGGAGTCCTTGGGGCCAACACCAGCACTTCCAGATGGCGATTCCTTTGGCACGCCGAGCAGCGAGCCTTTCGTGGGCGCCTCTCACCACATGGGGACATCATCGTATGGCGAGTCTTCGCGACAAGAGAGGTACTTTCGTCCCGCATCGATCGGACGATCAGATAACTGACAGACCCCCAGTCGAGAACACAGCCATTCCTCGCTAGCCTATTCGCATGACAACGCTGTTGTTGAAGGTGCCATACCCACGAACCCGGCCCCACACACCGTGGAAGCATCGACCAACGCGCTCAACAAATTTGGGTTCGACTGCGCATTTTACCAGAGAACGAAACGGGATCTGATCGCGAGCGGATGGAACGAGGAGCAGATATTCGGAAGATCGGAGATTGACGTCGACACGGTGTTGCTGTGTTTCCTGGATCCGCAGGATGCGCAACCTGTTTCGACTTGGTGCGCTCGGACAGTAAACCGGTTGCTTCCAACTGCATCTATGCCCGTTAGACTTGCATCCACATGGCTGCTCACCAAAGTAATGCGGGTAAGTGTTGCGCTCGAATTTGAGGCCTTGGGTCGAGTTTTGGCTAACATGTCTCCAGTATCTTATATGGCCTAGTCAACAGACGATAAACAACACTCCGGATTGGTTGAGGCCGCAGGTTGGAAAGCAGGAAGCGTCGCCGTACGATATGTTGGTTGATCTGGTTCCCTGGTATGTTCTCCAGCTTATTTTCCTGGTCGCGTACTCTTGCTAATACCTTGACAGGCCTCAAGTGCGCCAGCTGCTCTACCAGCACCGTCAAGAATACAACGTCATCCACCTCGTCGGTCTGATCGGTATCACATGGCCATATGCGGATGACGCGTGCCACTACTGGGACATTGAGACGGGATACAGCCGGATGACGCCTCTGTACGAGAGTACTGTTGCCGACCTAAACAACTGGACCATCGACCCGAAGATACTTGAGATAATGCCACAGCTCGAGGGGCATATTCCGCTAAAGACGATGGGAATCTGAAGTTGTTAGACTATTAAACCATTGGAGTTGCATTCCTGGCGTTTTTGGACTCGAAATGGGGTCGTTTTGCTGAGACGACCTCTTCCAGACTTTTATGTCTTTCCCAGCTTTTGGGTGTATATTATTATCGAGTGTCTGCCGGCGTTGTACATGACCAGAAAAAAAACCATTGGCCGTAAAGATCGTCATATTTGCATTTTTCAAGGCGTTGTCCGAATGGTGGTAGTAGTAGTAGTAGTCTCTGGAGGGTAGCAGAGAAAAATAATGATATGAACTTGCAAATACAGAACATACCTGGCAAACAGACCTTTGTAGTCCGTGCAACGTGCGCTGAAAGCAAAGTCGCTGGCAGTTTTTTTTCATCCAAAACAGCATCAGGCCATCAAATATACCAGGTGACTCGACTCCGCGGAATCCAACCTAGCGCCAAACTCCACATCCGTTCCGAGGACGTCTACTGTATCCACTTTGGGGGGTTAGGTGGACTGTGATGCCAAGCGCCAGACCGGGAGAACGGCGATCGGTGGGACAAAATGGACGAGTCTGGCTACTTCTTGAACTTTGGAGGGCCCTTTCCGGTCCAGAAGAAAAAACATTTGCATTCTAGGAACAAAAGGCTGCGGCTGCGGCGCATTCTAGCCCTCGGGAGCGTGGGCGGTGGAGACATTTATCCAAAAATGGTGTTGCTTGATTGGGGGGGGGGGGGGGGGGTTTCGGTACTTTGTCGACGAGGCTGCCGAAGTTCCGTGGAAGGTGCCGCTATACACCATGCCCGAAGCGGAAATTCCAAAGCCATGCGTGATGGAGAAACCGTGATGGCCACATCGTTGTCGTTGTCGTCGGCATCGTGGGAGAGAGAAACAAAATGCAGCGACGCCACCCACGGCGTGTGAGCAAAACCATCGCAGACCCACTCTGTGTTTTGCAATGGAGACTGTTTCGTTTAGACGCTTCTAGAGCATCTATCTTCTTGCAAAGAAACATGGCGGGTACATTCCCGTGTGTCAGAGTAAAGGTACCAGCAAGCAAGCAAGAAAGAAAGAAAGAAAGAAAGAAAGAGAAAGAAAGAGAAAGAAAGAGTCAGAGCTACATAGTTTGATGGAAGCGACGACGGCCTTTGTGTGTCAAAAAAACCCTCGTTTTCCCTCCGCGGAAGCAGCGACGGTGGTACCATTAATCGCCCGGTTCCGATCACAGTAGTGCTCTCGTATTCCCGACTTGAGGCCATACTTTTTACCTACTTTGTTTTAGTTTCGGGCATAAAATCACTTTGGCTTTTGGGGCTGGTGCTGGGGGGGGGCGCTGCGTGGGTTCTAGGATTAGGTAGGCATGAGCGGCTCCGCGGGGAGGGTGGGGAACGAAGGAGAGAGGGTCGCGGGGGAAATGTCCGCGTCGTCGGTGCGGTGGGTTGCGTTTGGATGGAACTTGAGGTTTTTGTCGGTGCTGCTTCCGGAGGCCAAAATGTGGCCACCAGGAAGGAAGAGAGGAAGGAAGGTCAAGCTCGCGCGCGTGTCTCACACGGAGACTAGAAATAATGCCGAGAGGAAAGGTGGGTGTTGTCATCAAGGGGTTTTTTTTAAAATTATAAAAAATATTTATCAGGTGAGGAATGCAGGAAAATTGCACGCAACATAGTTTAGAGAGAACAAAGAAAATCAGTAGTTAGTCGTACTCCAGCTTGTCCCCAATCCAGCTTAGCTTACTCTCACACCGCGCGCATGTCATGTACGTCCACGACCCAGACGTTACTACACACCAAGCGGAGAGTACGACACCACACGACACATCACACACACGCACACACACATACGGTCACCAGCAACGCAGACGCGGAGATGACACCGTTTTTTCGTCATCGCCCGCAACCACACAAACGTATTGCGGTAGCATGTAGCCGGCCGGTCTTGCTTTCAAGCCAACGTAAGTTCGTCGGCAGGTCTACCGGACCCTTTCTATTTGATCGGCCCAAAGTGTCATACATACTTCCTGTTGGCGGCTACGTTTGTGCATGGCAAGCAAGCAGGCTGAGAAGGGCATACCTTGTCCAAGACTTTTAGTTTGCACGCGCGTGGTGGGTGGCTGAGGTAAGGTAGGTCGTGTTTTTACGAACTGAACTCGCGCATATCGGCTCGCATGGGGAGGTGTGGTTTTCCATATAGCCTGCATGCTTGTATGTAGCTGAGATGGGGTGGGTTTGGATTTTAGTTGTTTTCATGGGGTTTCTTCACCACGCTGTCTATTTTCATCTGTTCTTGGCTTTTCCCTTGTCTTACACACCATCAACATCTTGGCCAAGCTTGTTTACGCTCACCGTATGCGATAAGATACACAGCTGGCTTCTACATCAGACCACTTTAGCGCGAGATGCCACATCACGCAGCGGCTCCGCACAAGCTTTCGTGCGTCGGTGTAGAGATAGGACGAGAGCTCTACCGAGCTTTTTTCACACTTACCTAGATTAGTAGGCAACTGCGTTACGGACATTCGGGCCATAGCACATGCGATTCTGGAATTCGTGTTCTCCGGGAAGTCCATTCCCATGCGTGTTTTGAATTATAACTTATCGTAAAGATTCTCGGTATGTTTGCATAACCTTTTGATCAAGTACAAAAAGGGGGGGTATCATACATCGGTCCGCTCAACTGCGCAACGTCAACTTCGTCAGTGGTACAAAGGAAAAAAAAGAGTGCGCTAAGCATGGCAGGAGTTGAGCCTTAGAATAGGCTCTTAACTGTTATGCGGCCTCTCCGCATCCCGCCGTCGAAAATGTGTCCACATGGGCCTCGGATCCGCACTGGAGCTTGTTCACCGGCCGCATCCTGGACCCGGTCACCGTATAGCAAGTCGTCAATCCCCGTGATCCATTCACTCTGCTCGGACAGACCGTCGTCGGGCTTTAAATGGTAGGAAATCTTGCTGCTCACGCTGCCAACATAATCCCCAACAGTCTTGTCCAATCTCTTTTTACCCTCAGGGTCGAAGATGCGAAATGTCATTGCAGCCTCCTTCCTTGCAATGAGTATACGAGACTGTGCAGCGAGGCGCGATCGAAGCGGGGTAAGGGCGAACTCCGTGGCATTAGGTGAAAAGGCGGGTGAAGTGGGCGAGTTGGACTTTGAATCTACTCGGAGTGTAGACATGACGGAGTAAGAAAAGTGTTTTGTTCTGGGTGTATTGGGTGTGTTGGGCTCGTCAAGCTGCATCGAATATTGGTTTGTGGGAGAAGGGCGGAGTGCGTTTGCAAACTTGGAAGTATCAGACGGAAGTAGTGCTGTTGCAAGGGGTTTGCAAAGTGATTGGATGATGCCTTGTGGGTCGTGTGGTATCCGAATGCGACGGAGTGATGGAAGAGCACGGTTTTTGATGGCGTCTGCGAGAATGGACGTGGCGGTGCAGCACATTGGTTCTGAAATTGCAAAGGAACACGAGGAGTCTACCGAGGTAGGCAAAGTCAGTGCAGGTAGCGGACTGGCCTCGGAGCGCAATTCCCAGTGGATGTATCGAAGCGAATGCGAGCGGAACTTGGGCATTGTCCTGGCTCCATCAAGCATGGGCGGTGCATCCTGGACAAGCGTGAAGCGCTGAAGGCTGGCAAAGTGAGGAGATAGGATACTCGCTATTGTTGCCAGGTTGGTGATGTTCATGTCCATGAGCGTCAGCTTCCGGATCGAGATTGCTTGTGGTGAAGCAGCAAAGCGCTGGATTCCCTTCTCAGTTACACCAGGAAGATCCTCTAACCGAAGAGACTGCAGGTTGTCCGGTATAGCATTCAAGGCCAAATTAGTAAATGAAGTCTCTGAAAGTCCAGAGACTGACAGGTGGCGCAGATACGGGAATCCTTTGAAAGTGCCGACGACCGCGCGATAGTTTAGAGGTGTCGATGACGGTTCTGGTTCCTGATCCAGGATCAGGGTAGATAGGAAACGGTGTTTTGAGTTCAAATCTAGGAAACGTTCTGTTGGATCACATTCGCGTATGTAATGCCCGCTCGTCAACTCGTCGTCCTCTCCAAATTCGTCCTCTCTATCAGTCAACATCCACACTCGCTCCTTGAGGCACGTTCGTGTCGATAGCGCATACGATAATCGATCGAAACCATGTGCAAATGGAGCGTGGAAACCGACGAGACGTTCCAGGCTTGGGCAAGCCATGACCAACGAAGCTACCGAGTTTGCAATCTCTTCTCGCTCGATGCTGGCGTTTAGATAGAGCGCTTGAAAGTCAACTAGGTGCAGTTCCCGGACTCTACGACCCAATCCCAAGTTGTCGCGAAGAGTCTTTCGTAGCAACTTGAGTCTGCTGGTCCCCTTGATATTGAGCTTCGGAAGCTTCCCATGCTCTTTATTGGTGAAGACTAAAGGCTTGGTGTACATTGCTGTGTTTGCAGCCTTGTGCCAGACACGATTTGTCCGGGCAAGGCTGTTGAGGTCCCGAAGATAACATGACGGACATGCTTGGTCATTGTCCATGTGGATTTGCTCCAGTTGCGCAACAATGCAGTCGTAGACTTCTCTGGGTAAACTGTTGGCGATCTTCACGGAGGACCGGCTGGAGGAATTCGAGTTGGAAGTCGAAGTCGTCCGTTTCCGCCATATTGAACCTCTCCTAGGACGTTCATTCTCCCATGACTTCTTCGTCGGTAGCGCTACAATTGAGTCAATGTGTTCTGACCTGGAGTCGGGAAAGCTTTTGACTGAGACTGGTGTATTGGGTGGAGGATTCAACGTTTGTGTAGTAGCTGGCGGGTCTGAAACTGACACTGGTGTAATCGGTAGCGGCTTTGATGTTCGTGAGTGAGTGATGGAAGGCGAAACTGGTGTATTTGGCGGCGGTTTTATCGTTCGTGTTGCTGACGACGGGACGGAAACGGTTACGGGGGTGTTTGGTCGAGATCTTATTGTTCGTGTAGCTGCTAACGGAACCGATGCAGTTGTCGATGTAGTTGACGCTCTCTCTCTTCTACCTTCGACCGGTCGAGGGTGAGGTTGAGCCCTAGAACATGATCAGCGAGGATGTTCCCTAGGGATCCGGCAGAACCTCATTAGGATTCACCATGATGTGCTTACAGGTCAACAGATTTGTTGTTTCTGGATCTGGATAGACGAAACATGCTGGATGAATTTTCGGCGGGCGATATTGCGACCTGGGAATATAAACGAAATCGGCCCAAGGCTGGACTCGGCAATTGACGTCGACGGGGTCATACTTGGGCAAACCACGAGGCGGGCGCCACTAAGCTAGGGCAGCTAGCACAACCCCGGACCGTTCGTGAGACGCGGCGTCATGTTTCAGCTCCCGGGCACGCACGTATCTTGCAAAAGGTCATATAACCGGTGCGACCCGCGTGAGTGCCCAAATGTAAGACTCGCACGGAGCATGATCAACCGTGATGAAGCTTGGTTCCCCATGAATTAGTTTCAAGAGAGAGGCTTCCAAACTGTCAACACAGAGGACCACGACACCTGGGCTCTATCGGGCAAACACGCCAACAGGCACACCTGCCAACTAGATTAGCTGTAGGGAAAGTTTTGGCAAGTCCAGATTGTCGGCTGTTCTCCGTGGAAATTGCCAATTGGGACCCTGGAGATGCAGCCGCTTGGCTTACTTGTGTGCCGTACGCGCCACAGCACATGCGTAGATGCATATACGAATGAACGGCAAGTAATGACAGGTTGTGTCACATGATCAGATGTTATACACAGGCGTATCCGTACTTGTGCAATCTTCCGGTACGCACTCGCCGGGACCACACTGTTGAGACGCAAGTCCGGTGTATGCAGTATGCAGTGGCATTGGCACTCTCCCAAGGATGCTCAGACGACGGAGGCAGACCGGGTCCGTAAGTGTGCTGGCTCCCGAGGCTGGAGAAGTGTATTAAAAGCGAAAGGGTCGAATTGGATGCAGCGGCGGTGGCGCCCTTGCTTGGTGGATCCGGAGTTTGATCATCGCTTCCTTTCGCCAATCGATAGCTCGGTCTGTGCAGTTAGGCCAGGGTCCGTCCCAGGAACTGCACGAATCCGCTGCCGTGGAGAGCTGACATCAGCTATCCGTCACCCTTCTGGCTCTCTGCTGCTTCCCACACATATGCAACCATCATCCCATTCTTCTTTGGCGAGAACACGAGCGAGCGGCATCTACACAACCCGCGCGATATTGGTTCTTTCGGTCGGCTAACTTTCTCTGCACGTGAGTCGGGAAGGATTGTTTCGTATGCTAATGGGTGGAGCCTCGTGGAGATAACATTCCTTGTAATGCCATGGTGCATAACTCGACAGGTGCCGGACAGGATGCTATAGTTACCACAAATGGATTGTGAAGGTTGTCAGCAGTCAAGTTTGATCAAAACACCATGTTTTCCTATAAACTCAAAGCATCGTATCATCCGTATTTGATACCGGTCTGACATCAACCCACATGCTGACTGCCGACAAGCCGTCTTCCCGTACTGATTTGCGCGTTGCCTGGGACGCGCATCGCTATCATCGACGTGCCTGCCGGTGAAGATGCCCAATCCCACCTTCCTGAAGAATGGTCCGCATCCGGGCCTGAGAGAAGCTGCGCGGCCTAGAGCAAAGCCCCATGCAACCAAGGGGTTCTTGCAAGCGCACAAGTTCCCCAAAGCAGTAACCATGGAAGGCGGCACTAAAATGTCGTGAATGATTAGCGTGGCAACCCTTGCCAAGCGCTGTCCCCAAGGCTCGAGTTTAGTCCAGAGTCTGCTAATGCGCCGAACATTCGAAAGGACTGAGACTGTTGAAGGGGTATGATGGTTTGATCGGCACAGCGTTCTGTGTCCCACGGCCAGAAAGCCGGGAAGAAGTTCCTGAGACGTTTGTCTCAGCTGCCGAAATATCCGGACAACAAAGACGATCTTTCAGACGCGACTTTACGCGACTCACGCGCGTGCGAGTTTACAATGTCATGTGTTGCTGAGTCGCAGGTCGTGCTGTGTTTGGGATCCGTTGCTCGGATGCGGTCTAGGCCGACGGTACTAGGAGGACCCTCCCCGCTGCATGAACAACGCTACACATTCATCTCGGGGCAGGTGGAGAGAGCAACCGACAGCAGACTGGTGACCAAAACAAGCAACTCTTCCCTTTCGGCCGAAGATATGTGCTCTGCAACCGGCCTAATCCGTTCCGTAACCGTACGGTGAGATAAACGAATTTACCGTGAAAATCTCCGTTTGGCCCGTTGCCCGCCCGCCCGCTAAGTGAATGTCATCGGAGGCTCAACAAGGCGTTCGACGACGTCATTATCCCGACCAGAGATTTTCCATATCAACAAGGGCTTCTGTGATATAGACGGTGTGCCTTAATATTCAATCTCTAATATACCCAGGAGGCAGATATCGGACATGCTGTCTCACCTGGTCATTGGAAGGATTAAGGTTTTTCTAGTCAATCAAAGTCAATCCCAATTGACTTCTGTAATCTCCAGTCAGTCACCCGTTCTCGCGCGCGTGATTGTTGAAGTTCCGCTTTTTAACATTTCAGGTGTACGCCTGCAGGACGTCCATCGGCATAGGCGCTAGAGAGTAAATCACTCAAAACTCTATCTTCACTAACTCGTATCGTCACCCGACGGCGGAAAGTAAATCGGAACTCTGGCGGAGATGTGTGCGCGAGCCGGTGAGGCTGTAGACGCTATGCTGGGAAGTCAATCGAAGGGAAACCTTGGATGAGATTACAGGCGCCCATGTGACACCTAGGTACTGTAGGGTAAAGTATCCAATATGCCGGGTACTAACACGCCACTGTGCTACAATACGCCGCCTAGAGTGACCCAATCACGAAGTTTGGGGGGTGTTGCGAGGGTGCCAAGAGTGTTATTTCATTCCGCTTCTTTGCCTTGTTGATCTAGTGAGCGGTCTCTGGGTACAGTATCATAAAATATTGAATTCTGAGTCGGATATGAGACTTCCATACTGACGAACGAGCAGCGAATTTGAGGTGTAGTCGGGTATGAAGTAACTACCAGTTTTTAAATACCTATTGCTCGCCTAACCGCCTCGTCTGATTGCCTTTGTACTGATCGAACTTTCCGAAGTTAGTCTACTCAGCCCTTGCCACAATTTTTCCGTTCATGTACGGATACTTAGTGTCAGGGGTCGAAGAGAGCAGCTCAGTAAGAATGGACTTCGTTTATTACCGATATATACCAAATGAAAGACAGCGAACTCCTGTTAAGACAATTTGCGTGACTGCCCGGTAAAGAAACTCCATGCATTCTCCTAGCGTGTACCACTGTCTCTTGCACGCACTTCATCATCAACCTCGTGTACTTCCCTTACATAACTTTCGAAATCAACCACAACCTGCAGAGCTTTGTGAATGTGGCTATATGCCAAGGTTTTTCCCTCGTAAAGGGCTAGCTGCCGTGCATTGTCGATTGTATTTCTTATCTGTCGCCCATTCATCTTGTAATCGCTGAGTTTTCCGAGCTTTTCTTCAATGTTGCTGAATTCGGCAACTTCCCCTGCCTTCTGGAGTGACTGCATAAAGTTGCGCCACACTTCTTTTCGGTCCTGAGCGTCTAACGGGGGGTAGTGGAGCGCCAGTTGGATACGAGATTTGAAGGCTTCGTCAAAAGTCCCAATACGGTTTGTTGTCAGAATAAGAATGCCGTCGTAGTATTCCAGTACCCGCAAAAACACCGATACGAGTGCGTTGCGTTGCATGTCCGTCTTTGTTCATTCTTCGAGGAAAACATCAGCCTCGTCGAGTAGAACGACACATCGCCAGGTGCTTCCTATGTAGAGGACCGATCTTAGATACTCCTCTACGGCCTGAGGTTCCGTGCCGATGTCGCCACAAGTAACTCGATAAAGTGGTCGTTTTGCAAGCTCTGCCACGCTCTCGGCAGTGAGAGTTTTGCCGGTGCCAGGCCCTCCATGTAGCAAGACTATGAGCCCCTCTCCTTTTCCCGCCATGAACTCAGTTCTGATGGCATTTTGCTTCCCAGCATGCACGGTGATCAAAGCTCGAATGAGGTCTTTCTTATTCTCCGGGAGCACTAGGTGGTTCTCGAATATGTCTCTGTTCCACTCAATCTCACAGATATGCTTCTCGAGTAGCCAGCCTGTGTATATCTTCAGCACACATCCTCAAGCTTAAGAGTTTACACTTACTCCACTTTTTATTGTGGAATCCATACCTGCGTATCCTGGCTGGCAATAGGAGGACAAAGGGCTCTGCTGGTAAGGCTTTCGAGTGCATCTGGTCGGTAAGCAGCTCAACCCGGGTGATGGGAAGATTATCGTCCTCTTCCTCTTGTTCGTGCATCTTTTTGTAGGTATGCATGTCAATCATGTATCGCAGATTTGCCTGGTTGTATTAGCCTGTTTAAGAGTGAACCAGAATGCTTTCCTTACTATTTGAACCTCCATACCCTCGAGTGTCACATTGCTGTGCAAAAGTTAGAGAAAACATATACAGACGCGTCGAAAGAACACGCAGGAGCAAGAGAATGGCTGGAGAAACTGTCTACTCGTGTCATGTACTATGGAAAGGTCCTGGACACCCTTGCACAGCACCACCCGGAGTACACTGCTCTTGCTTGGGGAGCTATAAAGATTTTGCTCATGGTACGTGGCATGCATACTCATCTGATCCCCCCAATACAATAAATTAACAGGAAAAAGGGTGTAATCGAACGTGCAACTCTCGTCCAAGAGCTTGCGAAAGCCTTCATCGCTATCGGAGACGTCCTCCCTAGAGCCAAATTGAGCGCCGAGCTATACCAGACCAACTACATGAGGGATGCGCTATCCCGACTCTACGCTTACATCATACGATTCCTGCATCTCTGCGTTCGGTGGTACAGCAGAAGCTCTTTAGGCCGGTTTTTCTCCGGCCTCAAAAATCCGTTCGAGCTCCATTATCAGGACTTAGTGGAACAAATCAAGACACGCTCTGCAGATGTTCAAGATCTCGCAAACGCAGGAGCGCGAGTTGATATCCGCGATATCCTCACGATTCAGGCGTTGAAGCATGATCAAGCACTCAAGAGGTATGAGAGAATAGAAGACTGCTTGAATCAGATTCTGCAAACGTCAACATCACACAAGGCTCTTAGTGAGTTCATGAGCGTCGATATAGGCGAGATCAAGCGAAACACTTGGGAGCTGAAGTTCGACCACGTTCTCCGATTCCTGGCCCCAGAACAGTCGCCCGAAAAAGCTCTACTGAAGTCGCAGTCGTTCATTCGTCGCGATCCGACGCAAGATATGCCTTCCCGCGATGACGCCAAAGTAAAGAAAATATTGCAAACTTGGGCTTTCACAGATCACTCTTCACTTCTGGTGGTACGCATAGGCTTTGATGCAAAGAAAAGAGCCAGAGAGCTGGTAGCGGAAGTCATTCAAACCCTTTCGGGTAATGGTCAACGTATCTTCTGGAATCTCTCTCTACCACGAAGCTCAGATCGGGCAACACTCATGTCTGACGTCTTCAAAAGTCTTGTCCATCAGGCTTTGCGATACACTCCCGGACTCTTCGCTAAATTTGCCGAACAGCTCAATCTCGAGAAGATTCAGAGTTCCCATACGGACAGCGAATGGATCGATCTAATCTGCCTACTCTTTCAGCAGATCCCAGATGCCTTCATCGTGATTGAATCTCGAGACATTTACAAATCGCATCGACATGATCCAGAATGGGCAGAGCACCTACTCAAGCTGCTGCAAAGAGCTGTGGAAAAGTCTGAGAATGTGGGCAATAGATTAAGAGTGCTATTTGTGGTATATCGCAACGCACTAAAGTCGCCTATTGCAACGTCAATTGACGGCAAGTTACTAGTAACATCACTACAAACCCCTACTTCTCCACCACCGCGAATGCGGCATATGGCCCGCCGAACAAACTTCAATACAAAGATCTGGAAACTGCAGAAGCCGAAGTTTTGAGAACAATTTGCAGGGGACACTTGAGATGGAAGGTATCGATGCGCTGATACCTCAGACCGGCTCAAGCAAGCGTACAAGCTCCTCATCACCCACCTCCCTCGCAACATCCAATGGCGTCCGACCCCTCGTATCCTTTAAATCTCGATCCGCAGTAGAAACTCAACCATATTTCTCTCCCCTAACTCAACCGCTCTATGCAACGTCGTCCCCAATCCCTTGAAATGCTCATGTCCCCAAGACTGCAGGTGTCGCGAGTATTGAACCTCGTTGATAGATGCTCCCCTAGCGATCATCATCCGCAAAACCTCAATCACATTCTCACTTCGCTCCACGGCATGATGGAACAACTGTCCCTTGTGGATGCTACCTCGGTCAAGCAAGAGATTGATAACTGGGATTTCAGCGCTACGAACGGCAAAGGATAATGGTGTGACATCTAGAAAGCATTGGACGTCGGGGTCTGCTCCTCGATCAAAGAACCGCTGCATGAAGTCAATATCATCCACGAAACAGCTAGCGCGCATCAGCTCCCTGTGTCTTGATGATTCAAAGATACTTATCTGACGTACGCAAGCACTGGTGGGTGGAAGTTTACCCAAGGTTCATTCACATCCCACCCGCTATCAATAAACGCCTGAAACACGTCTCTTGATCGGGTCTGTATGGCTTGTTTGATGTACATTTGATTCATTGCCAATCCTCGAGAGAACAACAGCTTGATGATTTGGGGCCGTGCATGACGGACTGCGGAGAAAAGGACAGGCCAAAGCTCAACCGAACGATGTCCTTTTCGCTCAAATGACTCTAGTTCATCGTGGAAAGATTGGTCGTCATCAAGATCTCCAACACGACATATTCGGGCTAGAGTCGTAATCTCGATGGGCGGAGGGCTCATGTTCCTGACAGTGAAGGTAGGAGGACTGGCGGAGGATTTGTCGTGGAAGCCATAGTGGTGGAGGATGGAACTTGGAAGGGCCGCAGGTTAGACTGGTTATAATCAGTTCTTAGTCTGCTTGGGACTGGTAGCTGACCAATCATCGTGCTTGAGTCTTTTCAGGTGAGAGCGGTTCTTTCTGCAAACTGAGAGATCTTAGTTGGTTGAAAGGCGGACAGAGTGATAGATGATTAGATTAGCATGACTCGCTCACTTTATACGTCTGTCTACTACAATTTCTGGGTTGGCTTGTTCGCCTGCCTTTGGATGTGATCATCGACCCGAGGCACCTCCCCAAAACTACCGCATCCAAAAGTCCTCAAATGATTACATCGACGCAGCAGATTTGCGATCGAAGAGAACCCCTAGACTGGATGTGATCAATTCTCCCGCAGTAAACCTCACAGAAACAAAATACGTCACACTTGCAATGAGGGAATCCGGATCACGCCCACGTTTCAAATAGACCAGAAGATTTATTCTCACTCTTCGCCTGCCCTACAACACTCCCATGACTACCAATGCTGCGTTTTTAGATACCTCTCCGGCAGTTTCAAACTCATTTCAGCGACTTCGTTTTTATACACCCCCGCCACCTCCAGAAGTCCATCAAAGCGATGAAGTATCGAATTTTGCTTGAGGAAAACGCCTGCTGGCGAGGGAAAACATTATGGGTTCTAGCAGATTTTTGAAGAACAGGGACATTTTAAGAGTACAGCAGAGAAGAGTGGGGATGATGGAAGAAAGCATCCTCAACTTTGAGGTATAGAATAGCAGGTTGAGGGCGGTGGGAGAGTGGCTTTTATATGTTCCTGGCTTTCTCCCCTAGCATTATGAATTTGCGGCCTATTTCTTTTAAGAAACAAAAGAAATACGTGTCTAAAGCCCTATGAATCACACATATACAAACATTTTCACGAGCTGTCGGCATACACACGGTGTGTCGCCTAATAAGGCCCAATGTACCGCCTCGATCCTACTTCGGCCCAACTCGGACCCAACGCTATGTATACCTTCGTAGCCCCCACATTCGTAGAATCATCATACACCAGAATACCAATACACAAGATTACCTTAGCTACTGTTATTCACCGTACGATCGTACAAGGCCTTCCAACACTGATCAGTGATTGCACGGCAGTCACAGACAGTTAGGTTAAGAAGAGATAGATTCTTTACCCCGCGCGTTCCCTAGATTGCTGTCAGCCTGGCACCTCAGTTCACCTGGTACACTGTGAACTGTATCTCACGTGACTCTTCGTCACCTGCTTACTCATCTCGGTTGTGTATATAATCGCTCTATGTAGCTCTCTCAATACAACAACCTTCTTCCTCTCTTCTGCCCTGTCCTACATCCGACAATTGCCTATATCAGCAAGGCGGAGTTATCTATGCTAAGCTCACTGTTAGCTATATCAGGCGTCGTTCGTGGCTAGCGACCGACCGTTACAGCCGTATCAGAAGCGTTCCAAGACGCCGTCTATACACGCGCCAACCGACCGGTTGAGATTTGACCCGTGTACAACCCACGACCACCGACGCATCTCTAGCGAACGCAGCTAGCGCAACAAGCGTCAACAAGAACACAATAGCAGGAGAGAGAACATCATCGGAAAGAGCACCGGTAGCCAGGACACCGGCAGTAGGAATGGCGAGCAGTAGTAGAAGAGTGGTACCCACACTAGAGGCGCTACTAGGGACCACAAACATAAAACCAAGAGAATGGCATCACATCTATCCAGAGATTTGGGAGGACAACGTTGAAGCTCCAGACGATGAGGTAGGGATTACTACAGCAACAACGTACATTGCGCGTGCGATTGCGGACTATACAGATCGACCAACAGCAGATGAAGAACTCTTTTGGGAGTTCCGTCAGGACTTTGAAGGATGGACAGAGGCAATGTTCCTACGTGCCCAGCCAATATACACAAAGGAACTAAAGCGGATCCTCCGCTTTAAGGGAGTGTATACTGGCCGTATTAATATGGCACCTAGTGAGTCTCTAGCTAGGTTATTACGCATGGAGGAGTGTTCCTACGTGCCCAGCCAATATACACAAAGGAACTAAAGCGGATCCTCCGCTTTAAGGGAGTGTATACTGGCCGTATTAATATGGCACCTAGTGAGTCTCTAGCTAGGTTATTACGCATGGAGGAGTACCTAGAATGGCCTCAGGACGTATTCCAGTCGGCTGTGTTTGACACACGATCAGCTGCGCACATGTTGCAAGAGCGGGCACTACGGCAACAACGCAGTGAAGGATCAGTACAGTCCACAGACAGGAGATTATCAAGCCAGGCCCAGAGCCGAACCCAAACGCCTGTAAGGACAAGAGGCCGAGACGTAGACAGTCGGCAAACCCGCGATCAAGACCAGACCCACGCCCGTGTGCAAGGACGACAGGAGACCGTTGAGGAAGAACAACAGATTCAGGACCAGCTAGCAAAAACGATTGAGAAAGCCCAAAACCAACCAATCCGAAGCCAGCCTGTAGAGACAACTGAATCCGCACCGCAGCCAGCCTATCAGCGCGTCCAAAGTCAGCAACCTCCCCTCACCTACAACAACTTCGACCGATTCCGCGAGTATACACCAGCATACCCGCAACGTCCGAAGGGACTGAGCGTTCCCCCAATTGTGCCCTCTGGTGAAACAGACCCGTACAAGGCAGTTCCACCAATCGAGTTTGGCAATGAGAAACTGGATCCTAAGACGATCAATGTCTTCGTGAAAATGTGGGACCGAGACAAAAAGTATACGGGAAAGCCGTACGACCTCCTAGACGATAAATTGAAAATCTTCTACAGCATCTGTTATCACGCAGACATCGAGCCAGGGCAGTTCCATGCAGTCTTTCCACGGATTCTCGACGGCCGCGCAGAGGAGTATTACCTCCACTTCGTCGATCAGCGGATGGATACGTTCTTGACTGCCTACACAAAGCTCAAGAACCACTTCGACACAGACGTCAACCACGGCCATTACTACGCGGACTGGACGACGACATCGTTTGTCAAAGTCCGCAGGGAGAACCCCGAAAAGAACCTCCACGAGGTCCTTGACATCATGCTGGACAAGCTCCAATTGTGTCAAAGAGCACTTGGACAGCAGTACATGGGAGAATACGCGCTCCGAACGACTGTAATCACAGCATGCCGAGGCGTGAAGGAGCTCGAGATGGCACTCTACAAGCCGTCTCTAGAATGCGAGGTTCTGTTTGGAGATCTGCGATCGTCAATCGAAAACTCACTCGCCATGACCGTCTCCGTCAACTTCACTGAGGCGGATACGGATAGCCAGTACTACTTGGATCGTCGGTACAACAACAACAGCTCTGGAAGATTGCGAGGGAATTACAACCCTCGCGGTGGACGCAGCGGATTCACCCGCGGACGCGGTGGGCTTCAGCACCGCTCTGGAGTCAACACACAAATCGACAAGAAATGTTACGTCTGCGGCAAGACAGGCTGTTGGTCCACAAACCACACGCTTGAAGAAAGAAAACGCTCAAAAGCGCAGTACATCACACACTGCGCGATTACGGGAGAGCAAATGGAGTTTAGCACATTTCTCGTCGCGTACGAGGGGGAAGAAGTCGACCAGTTCTTCCTAGAGGAGCAAGACGAAGATGATGAGGACCAAAGATTGGCAGTTAAGTACCTCACAGATCAGGCCTTTTTGCACCACGTGACTGGAGAAGACGTCTACAGGTGCAAGGAGCCTATTACGCCCGCAACGCAGTTCCTTATCGAGGATCGATACTCGCGAATCACGTACCAAGGCATTCTTCCTGACACTGGTGCCTCAAATGTATCGACAGCCGGAAAGGAGCAGTTCTGGGCGCTCCAAACTGAGGACCCCACCGTAACTCTAGATACGTCTACTGCTGGAAACGCATCTGTGCAATTTGGCAAAGGAAGCGTCACTACTTCGATTGGAACCGCACATGTATCGACACAGATTGGAAAGATCAAATTTGAGGTCTTGAACGCACCCACCCCGTTTCTCCTCTGTCTGAAAGACATGGACCGGCTCCACGTGTACTTCAACAATACTACGGACCAGCTGGTACAAGGAAAAGCTACCTTTCCAGTGATTCGCAAATGGGGACACCCGTGGTTCCACCTAAGCAAGGCAGAGCGCGCGCGCGTATTCCTTACGGAGACTGAGCTCCGACGCTTACACCGGAGGTTCGGGCATCCAGCCGTCGAACGGCTGATACGATTGCTCAAACGCGCAGGACACGAGGACGTGGATGAACGGCTGCTCCGAGAGATCCAAACGTTCTGCCATCACTGCCAAGCGCATGATCCAGCGCCGCGCCGATTCAAGTTTAGGCTGAAAGATGATCGGGAATTCAACTTCGAGATCCTCGTAGATGTGATGTATCTGAGTGGGAAACCAGTGCTTCACGTGATCGATTCGGCTACAACATTCAACGGCGCGCGATTTCTACCGTCTATGAGCGCGAAAGACACCTGGGAAGCACTCCGCCTGCTCTGGATTGATACATATCAAGGGCCGCCAGATATCGTCACCCACGACGCTGGCACTAACTTCGCGTCAGTCGAATTCAGATCAGAGGCGAAGATCATGGGAATCACATGTAAACAAGTGCCAACCGAGGCCCATTGGTCTATCGGCAAGGTAGAAAGATACCACGCACCGCTCAGACGCGCGTACGAGATCCTGAGGACAGAGCTTGACACTGGCACCAGCGACGCCGCAGTGTTGCAGATGGCAGTCAAGGCCGTCAACGACACCGCAGGCCCAGACGGGCTCGTACCCACGCTGCTCGTCTTCGGTGCATACCCCCGGATATCCATGGATTCACCACCATCTCCCTCGATAACCCATCGCGCGGAGGCAATCCAGAAAGCGATGAGGGCGCTGCGGAAGGCTGCAGCGGAACATGCGGTGAGCAACGCACTTGGTACCAGGAATGGGCCTACTACAGACGGGGTACTATCACTGCCTCTTCAGAGTGAGATGATGGTATGGCGCGAGAAGAATGGATGGCAAGGGCCGTATAGAGTCATCGATATGAAGGACCACGATGTTACTGTAGACATGATCAACGGCCCAACGACGTTCCGATCCACTGTCGTAAAACCGTACTATCGCGATCTGACTACAGCGATAGACGGCGCAGATCAAGGCACAGGTGGATCTCCGACCACAGACGAAGCGATTGCTGATGAACCGCCACTACCGGTACCACCGGCGGAAGCCAACCAAGCGGCTCAGCCGCGCAAGCGGGGCCGCCCACCTGGATCAAAGAACAAGCCCAAGGTGCAGTACCTGTCGAAGAAGGAGGAGGATGATTACGCCCTGGCCGTCAAGCTACGCAATGACGGCGTGATTAACGTCCCGGGCGCTCCATTCGAAGCATCCGATCAGAAGGAGATCGACGACCTCGTCGGCCGTGGAGTATTCAGTTTTGAGCTGTTTGACCCAACTCTACACGGCGGGTATCGTATCTTTAAATCGCGCATGGTCCGCGAAGTCAAAGGCAAGACCATGGTCCCGTACGAGAAATCACGCCTCGTTGTTCAAGGTTACAATGACGAGGGCAAACACGAGATCCTGACGCAGTCGCCAACCATCCAACGAGCCAGCCAACGCCTGATTCTAGCCCTAGCGCCTGCATTACTCGATGAGGGCATGGTTGTGGAACTACGAGATATCACGCAAGCGTACCCACAGGCACAAACAGAGCTATTCCGCACGGTTTTAGCGCACCTCCCAAAGGAGCTTATAACAAAGTATCCCAAGGGAACAATTATTCGCGTAATCAAGCCACTCTATGGAATCGCGGAAGCAGGAGTCCACTGGTTTGCTACGTACCAAGGACACCACTGCAAGGAGCTCGACATGGCTACATCAACGTATGACCCGTGCCTCCTGATCACGAACGGGAGACGGGAAGCGTTTGGAATAGTGGGCCTGCAGACAGACGATACTCTCGCGATTGGGACGCCTGCATTCTCTGGTGCAGAAGACGCTGCGCTCCAGAAAGCCAATTTTCGAGCTAAGCCCAAGGAGAGACTGTCCAAAGAAGTATCACTCGAGTTCAACGGATGTACTCTAACGTTGCGCGGAGACACGATTCTACTTACGCAGAAGGGACAAGGTGCCAAGATCGAAATCATTGATCCGAAGGCAGCAAACCGAGCACAGAAGTACATGGAGCAGCGCGCGCGTGGCGCGTACATTGCGTCGATATGCCAACCTGAAGCATCGTTCGATCTTTCCGCGGCTGCGCAAATACAACAACCTAAGGACACAGAATACGTGAAGCTTAACCGCCGGCTGCAGTGGCAATCTGAGAGCATACAACGAGGCCTGCGATACGTCCCTCTCGACCTCGCTACAGCAAAGCTGGTAGTGTTCACAGACGGATCCTTCGCGAACAACCAAGACCTTAGCTCACAGCTAGGGTACCTACTTATCCTTGCGAATGAGTCGAGTCGACAAGACAGCACGTTTGATATTCGTGGTAACGTAATCCATTGGAGTTCGACCAAATGCAAACGCGTTACCCGGAGCGTTCTTGCCTCAGAAACGTACGGCATGGTTAGCGGTGTCGACATCGCTATCGCTATCCTGACAACCCTCAAGATGATTACAGGACGCCTAGGTCTACCACCGATCCCACTTATGGTGTGTACGGATTCATACTCCTTGTATGAATGCCTCGTCAAACTCGGAACAACTGCTGAGAAGCGACTGATGATCGACATCATGGCGCTTCGGCAGTCATACGAGCGTCGCGAGATCACTGAGATCCGCTGGATCAACGGAGAGGACAACCCCGCGGACGCATTCACGAAAGCAACACCAAATCGCGCGTTAGAACGTTTCATCGAAAGCAACAAGCTGTCAATCCGAGTAGAGGGATCTGTGCAGCGACCTACGGAGTAGGCACATATGCCTATTTGGAATCCCTCTCAGTGTGTTCTTTTTAGAAGACCCGTTTTTCCTTACATCAGTCGTTACAATAAGAAAAGATTGCCAGTGTCGGCATACACACGGTGTGTCGCCTAATAAGGCCCAATGTACCGCCTCGATCCTACTTCGGCCCAACTCGGACCCAACGTTATGTATACCTTCGTAGCCCCCACATTCGTAGAATCATCATACACCAGAATACCAATACACAAGATTACCTTAGCTACTGTTATTCACCGTACGATCGTACAAGGCCTTCCAACACTAATGGAAATATAATAATTATTGAGAAGCTGGCACTATTAGTAGTAGTATGACTACCTAATAGAGCGCTCTCTAAGGCACAACGGTAGTGGTGGTACAGATTCGTATTGTATTGACTAAGGAGCTATTCACACGTTCGTAGATCCGTGTTGCGTGCAGCTGCGTCCAAGCTCCCCGCTAGGACCCACCTGCACGTGTCACCAATCATGTGACTACTCCTCCGCTTGATACCACCAAGTCACTTACGGACTGTATTCTCAACAATAATAATAATAATACAACATCATGAATTTCTTCCTAAACTTCACGCTTGCAATCTCGGAGCTCTTTGCATCAAATATGGGATTAACAACGGCGACGGCCTCAACATTCCTATACACGCCTATGGTCGCTATAAAAAATGGCGACGTACCAGGCTTCCACAACGATGTCCACGCCCAAGACATCTTCCGAGAAATGCCCCTACGCCACACCGCCAGCGCCCGCAACCAGGAAAGGCACACGGCAGGCCAGCAGCTACAGGCCGTCGTGTGCGGGGAGACACGAAACGCAGGTATCGGGCTTCTCGCAGCCGGGCAATGAGAGCAGCGGAGCGAGTGCTAGTGAGTAATTGTTTATATTTGAACGTTATTCGGCCGACTTTGCGCGCAAACCAAACCAAACGCAACAGCAACAGCAACAGAGACCACCAGTCCTACTCCATCTCCACGACGGCGCCGGCTGGGTTAACAGGAAGTGGCAGCAGCGACGCGCGGTATAACAGCAGTTTCCTTGTCTCAAAATCCGTACACATGGACACACCCGCCGTCGTCTTCGTTGCGTATAAACTACCGCTTGGGTTCCCCTTTGGTTTCCTCGCCGGCGCCGCGGTCGAACGGGCGGGACTGACGAATAATGGGCTTCGTGACTAGTGGATGGCGCTGCTGTGGATACCTACAAGAGAATATTACTGCGTTTGATGAGGATGCAGGGCGTGTGACACTCTTCGGCGAGTCTGCGGGTGGGGGTGGTGTGGCGGCGCAGATTATGGCATTTGGAGGAGACGGCAACGAAGAGGGGTGGGGGGAAAGGGCCGGCTTTTCCATGGCGCAATTATGCAGAGTGGGACGATGGGCATGGGGCGGACGGTTTTGAATGCAGAGGGCAGAGAGGCGGCGTTCCAGCAGGTGGTGAATGCCACGGCCTGTGGCGCCGCAGACGACGTGGTGTAGTGTTTACAACAAGTCCCCACGAATGTACTAGCAAAGGCGTATCCAATGCAACCCATATCATTCACCATGCACGACGATTTCCTGCCAGACCTACTATCGACGTTACTTTTACAAGGCCGTTTCACCCACGTGCCTGTTAGTTATCCTAGGCACGAACCGCAACGAAGGCACTAATATTCTAGAAATTCCCTTGATGCCATCAAGACACCCATTAACACGGTGTAAGACTTTGCCGCTCAAGTAACTAACGGGTCCCGGCTATCCCGCGTCTGTCTCGTACACAAAGCTCTGGAATCTCTACGGCGCCCGACGTTGTCGACAATAACACTACCACCACCAGCAGCGTCTTCGCCGATCTAGGCAGGAAGCGTGTGATAACGTGGTCGACTTGATGAGTAGGATGTGGATTATTTTTGTACTCCATGGGTCGCCGAATGAGCATGGGTGTAAGTTGAGCTCCGGTTTTTTTATCACATTTCAGACGTCCGTTCCACTTTACTGATGTACGCACCTGCAGTATCTGGTGTGAAGGCTTGGCCGGTGTATTTTTGCGATGGGCCGATGAATGCGTGTTTTAAAGTGGATGGGTTTGCGACGCAGGCGGATGACTGGCGGAGTGAGGCTATGGATGCTTGGAGGGATGGTATGGGGGTAATGAGGTAGTGGTACTTATCTGTTGTTGGTAAGTTGGCACAAAGGAGAGTAATGGAATAAAAGCGTATTTAGTTAGTGTTGAGAATACAGTCCGTAAGTGACTTGGTGGTATCAAGCGGAGGAGTAGTCACATGATTGGTGACACGTGCAGGTGGGTCCTAGCGGGGAGCTTGGACGCAGCTGCACGCAACACGGATCTACGAACGTGTGAATAGCTCCTTAGTCAATACAATACGAGTCGTACCACCACTACCGTTGTGCCTTAGAGAGCGCTCTATTAGGTAGTCATACTACTACTAATAGTGCCAGCTTCTCAATAGTTAGTTTATTTGTTTGTGCATTTCTGGTGTGTGGTTTCGACGATGAGGAGTGTGGTATTTGGATCGAAAAAAGGGATCTAGGTTCTAAGAGCATGTTTATGGTTGATCAGGGAAGGGTTGTGATTTCAGCTTATTTGCATGTGAAGTAGAGTTTCATTGCTACAGACTGCTTATCCTGCCTTGAGCATTACTGTAATGGAGGGTGTCTTTGGGTTTGAAAAGTCACTGTGTTTCCTGGCGCGCTGTATGCGTACGCTACTTGTGACGATGATATTCGTTACTAAGACTGCCAGAACTGGCCTGCTTAGATGGTGTAGCCACCAAGCATAGCGCGGCACTCGCGGTTCTCCTGCAGCTCAAGATGGAGTGGATCTAGCTCCGCTTCGATCGCAGCCTTGTTCTCCTGCAGTTTCTTTGCCTTTGCGGTCATGATTTTCGCCTCGTACTCCAGTGTCTGTGGCGCGTGGTAGGGCGAGAGGGCTTGTGCATATCGCACCGCAAGAGCTTAGAGTTTCTCCTTCTCCTCGATGCTAGTAGCGCTGTGTACCTTGGACTTCTGAGGCTCGGCAGCAAGTCCCATATTGAACTTTTTTTCCTGGAGACTGGTCCGGGTGGTGAACTTCTGGTCGAACTTGTACTCCAACTTGTTGATCCCAGTAGCGCGGTCGTCGTCCGCCTTCTTGATCTCAGCAGCGAGCTTCTCCTCGAACTCCGCCTTAAGTTGCTTAAACTTGGTGTCCAGTTTCTTGTCGAACGCGTAGCGTAGAGCCTCGATCTGGCCCTGCATGGAAAGCTCGATGGCGGTGCACTTGTCGTCAAATACCTGATCTTGGCTCTTTCCCTTCCCTTGTGCGGACGAGGAATGTTCTTCTGGCTCGCGCTTCGCCTGCTTCACCTCTACCATGGGGATACGTTGACGGTAAAGTTGTTTGCTCCTGCAAGTTCCACGATGTGTGTCAAGTTCGATCATCATCGAACACTTTGTCGGCTTCAACATCTGCTGCAACATCATGGTCGTTTTTAGCGGTCTGGCAATACTCTCTGGCTGCTTCGTAGAAAAGATCTGCCCCGTTAAAGTCTCCGATGGTGCCAATCAGGATCAAGGTTCTGATGCCGTGGTATGTGGGTAGCTCTTCTGTGTCGGATGTAGGACAGGGCAGAAGAGAGGAAGAAGGTTGTTGTATTGAGAGAGCTACATAGAGCGATTATATACACAACCACAGATGTCAATGAGCAAGCTGAGCGAGCTCAGCCAATTGGCTTGCTCAGCCAATTGAGCGGAGGCCAGCAGCTCGCTCGGCTCGCTCGGATTGGCTGAAACAGGGCTGTCAGCTCGCTCGGCTTGATGGGCTCAGTCCCGATTAGGAAAGTTATATAGAAACCTTGGTGTTGAGTTTCTCAGCTAATATCCCACTTATGTACACCGTATTTCGCGTCCATCTCCTCATCGCTGATAGCCTCCTTTACAGGCACCTCACCACTGCCAAATCCAGCTCTTATCCATCGTCGATCGCACTGTATTGCTGCTAGAAGTTGCGGAGAAATGCTGCGCCGACGGGGCTCGAGGAGGTCACCCAGCTCGCTGAATAAGCGCTCACACTCACAGCTTGAGCCTGGGATTGATAGCATGTCGATAGCAAATTTGCTAAGGCTAGGGTGGCGATCGCGGAGTTCTACCCAGTATTTTATAGGGTCGACGCCCTCGCCAGCGATCGGTTCGCTGCGTTTCCAAGCCTCATATTCATCTTCCTCGTTCTCCGTAAGCCCTGCAGGCTCAATAAAGTTGTTGATAAAGTTGCCGCGATTTCTGGAGCATTAACGCGTGTTCTTTTTGCTGGCATTATAGCAACGGCGAGGTAGATAGTAGCTGCAAATAGAGACGCGTTGATGGAGTTTAGATGAGTGTGGTGGGTGATAAGTAGTAAGTGAAGTGTCGCAAAAGGAGAATATTGTTGCCAGGCGGTTAGCCGGAAATTTAGTAGCTTATTTGCTAGAAATATAGCAAAAAAGAGTGTATTTTATGTTATAACTAGGTTTCGAACTTACGCACTACACCTAAAAATCATCGTGAGATTGCCCCTCCACCAAGTCCTTCAGCCCCAAGTTTCCAACCGCCCCATCTAACCAAGCTAAGCAAGCTGACTGAGCGAGCGCCTATCCCTAAGCTCGCTCGGCTTGCAAGCGCGCATTGCGCGCTCAGCTCATTCGGCTTGGTCAAAACGTCCAAGCCGAGCGAGCTGAGCGAGCCGGCTCGCTCGTTGACAAGTATGATCTTAGCTGCATCACAACCAACGCGATCTGATCCTACTCGCATTCATCGCGATGATCTTCCGCCTCCACCACGTCACTGGAAAGAGCTGAAACGTCACGCTCACGGAAAGCAATTTGAAGCTGCTGCTTACGCAGAATTCAACAGCTGCTGGAAGAAAGCAGACTCCGCAACAATCAATCGGATCGGCATGATTGATTCCTATCTAGGTTAAAGGCTGCCTAATGAAGTAATTCTTTAACCTATATAGGAATCAATCATGTCAATCGATTGATTGTTGCGGAGTCTGGAAGAAAGGCACCTTTGCCAAACCAGACATTACAGCAGACACAACAGATGCTGTACCCTTAATGTGGGTATTCACCTACAAGTTTAATGAAGATGGATATCTTCTCAAATACAAAGCTCGACTTGTTGTTCGAGGAGATCTGCAGGAACAGTATGGCGATACGTACGCAGCCACTCTTGCTGCTCGCCTGTTTCGAGCTCTTATGGCTCTTGCATGTGCTTTCAACCTTAAGGCAATGCAATATGATGTACCAAACGCGTTCCTCAACGCTAATATGGATCGTACGCTCTATGTGAGAACTCCAGACGGATTCCAGGACAGATACGGCCCGAATCTCCGACTACTTCGCGCCCTGTACGGTCTCAAAGAGGCTCCTCGCCTATGGGCTATTCACTTCCAAGAATCACTGCGAAAACTTGGCTTACATCCTGTCCAAGGCTTTCCATGCCTTTGGATGAATAATAGGAGTATTCTCTTCTTCTTCGTGGATGATATTATCATCCTATACCACCCAGATTACCACATGGACTTTGACAAGCTTGAACAACAACTCATTAAGCTCTATGGCCTTCGTCAGATAGGCAACATTAAATGGTTTCTTGGCATTCGAGTTGAGAGAGTGCTGTCCAGCCAGCAACTTTATCTCATTCAAGACTCATTCATCGTCAAAGTTTGCACTGAGTTCAACCTCATCCGTGCTGATGGAAAATACCCATCAACGCCTCTCTCTACCACTTCAAGGCTGTTGCCACAGTCCGCAACAATCAATTAAGTGGGTCCTAGAAGGTTCAGATTGGATTGATTGATTACCGCTTTAAGCCTAGTAGTTACCTATAGGAGTTTAAGCCCTACCTAGATAGGTAAGTGGGTCTAGGAGAGTGACCGGATTGAATTGATTGTTGCGGAGTCTAGCTGTTGCCATACGACGGATTATCTGATCCTACAGTTACAAAGACGTATCAACGTCTTGTAGGTAATCTGGCATATATTGAGATCATGACGCGTCCTGACGTCGCACATGCCCACTCAATCCTTTCACGGTTCCTGATCAATCCAGGACCAGTTCACCTCTCGGAGATCAAGCACGTATGGCAATACCTGTACGGTACTAGGTATCTGGCCATTAGTGCTCGAGGGGGTGAGCCTACCCAGACGTTTGCAACAAAGATCAACTCAACACTGCCTACGTTCTTTGGTGCTGCTGATGCATCATTTGGAGACGACGCAGAGACTCGTCGGTCATCTGCTGGATATGTATTCATACTCTACGGTATGCCTATCGACTGGAAGGCTACTGTACTTCGATCGGTCACTCGTTCGACCACCGAAGCAGAACTCTATGCTCTCTCTGCTGCAGGAGTCGAATCACAATACTGGGATCGATTCTGTCGCAATATTGGTTTCATGCTTCATACTAAGAAGGCTCTTTGGTGTGATAACGCTCAGACGGTACGACTTGTACAAGGTGACGCTGATCGAATCCAAACAAAGCTTCGTCACGTCGATATTCATCAAATGTGGCTTCGCCAAGAAATTGAAACTGGAAAAATCACTGTTGAGTGGAAGCCTACGGCTGACATGCCTGCTGACGGCTTCACTAAACTACTTCCTCGTCAGAAACACGAGAACTTTACAAGACAGCTAGGCATGAAGGATGTTCGACATCTCATTGTCAAAGACTTACCCTGTCCTGTACCTTCACCCATACTCTAACCTGCACCTGTACCCTTGTATTTTGATATTTCTTGTACTTCACTTTGGTTGTGAGGTCTCCATCCAACATGGATACCTCAGGGGGTGTGTCAGACCTGGCACCTTGTGCACTAAGTACACTGTGAATGATGTACTCACATGACCCACTAGTGCGTGCTTACTCAGCTCGCTACTCATGTATATAGTCGCTCTCTGTTACTCACTTAATACAACAACCTTCTCCCTCATGTCTGCTTGGTCCTCCCACATCTGACAGTTCGGATACCTTCTTGTTCTCTACTCTCTACCGATTGCGGGTCGGCAGCCTCTCTTCTGACTATTGAGGCTATCCCTCTACCACAATATCTTGAGTCCGGACTAGTTAGCAGACTCCGCAACAATCAATCGATTGACATGATTGATTCCTATATAGGTTAAAGAATTACTTCATTAGGCAGCCTTTAACCTAGATAGGAATCAATCATGCCGATCCGATTGATTGTTGCGGAGTCTGCTAGTTAGTGATAGTGTCTATGTCGTAGGTATGAAGGAGATTGTTGTGCTGATTGTAGGAATAGCGACTACTAATGATAAAGCTTCATGGCAGAGCTCGGCTATGAATGCTAGCAGATCTTCACCTGAAATCATGTCGCGTAGATGATATGTTATTGCAGTATAATGCAGTCAATCAAAGTGTGTCCGCGCGAGGCAGTCATTAGTGTATTCGCTGTCTGTCTGTGTGTTGTTCTGTCATGGCCACCTTATATGTAGCCATAATCAGGGTCTATTTATGTAACGGTGTGAGGAGAGGAGGAGGACTGCGTTACATTGTATAGCTATCGAGGAACTGCAGCTATATATACTTGTGTGTGATCAAAAATTGTGGTAGCGATAACCGTACCCAACTCGCACCTGAGTAGGTCTTGGCAAGGCCCAAACCGTCACACTCCCCCCCAGCTGCCGTGATCAACAAAGCTGACTAGTGCCAGTGCCGTAGCTCTGTTATTTCTGGTGTGTCAACCTGAGTCGTAAGGAGCTGGCGAACATTTCCAAGCCCTAGCTGCCTCACAAACTCAGCGTGTTTCTGTGTTGGAGTGGGTGAACCGTACGCATAGGGAAGAAGTTGAGGATTGACTGAGGTTGTATTGTACAAGCTATGGAAAGTTTATGTAGGTGAGTGACCATAAACAGCGCTAGTCTCAGATAGGCATCGTCCCATCACCAAACCGTGACACACCCCCCAGTTGTCACCAAGTCAGTGAGTTGGTGATAACTGACCTGTATCCAGCAGATGAACCACGAATGATGTACCACCACTAGGTGGTTGGCCGTCATCTACCTGAATCTTGTCTCTATACTGTTGACGTGAAGCCCATTCATTTAGGGCGTCCTTTATTTGCTTCGAAATCTTAGGATCCTTTTGAGCTTGTTCAACCTTGCGGACTCCAATAGGTGCTGGTGTCCAGTCTTTTGGTCGACCTGGGTGAAGTGGATTGAGTATCCAGCAGTCGGGTAAAGCGTGTGACAGCCCACAAACACAAGGTAGGTTTGCAATCCCAAGCTTAGCAGCTGAGGTAGATAGCACACTTGACTCAGTGGCAGTGGTCTGGGCAGCTCGGCGGATGTACTTCGTCATCTTTTCGACGTAGGCGGGCAAGCTGAGTAGATTTGTACCGTTTATCTCGTGTTCGTATATCTGATCGAGGCAGGTAGCAGCGTAGTTTGGATAGTGAGCTTGGCAGGCAATCAGGAAATCCTCCTGAGGCCTGTAGCTAGTTGTCTCTGGTAGGTTGATCGATTGGCATTGAGAAGTGATGTGTATCCAGTCAGCCATCCATTCATCGAGTTTCTTTAGGTTGCGTGGAGCGGTCTTCAGATTGGTGTATCTTGCTATCAAGTCGCGACTCCGATCGGCTGTAGAAGGACAGAATTGCTTCTTGAGAGCGACAAGTCGATCGTACACAGTAGGGAGATCCTGTATTAGGTAGAGATGACGCGTGGCGATAGACCTAGTGATCTCTGTATTTAGCTGCACCAGAGCTCTCTCTTGTTTCTGCAGCGTGATCTCGTCGAGTCTCCATTGTTCAACCTCCCATCGGTAGGAATCACGATCCTCAGTGGATAGATCAGAGAGCTTGGAAGCTCTAGCCTTATAGTCGGTGAGCTGAGGCTTAGGATTGGCAGCCTCTAGGTCAGGCAGGCTCTCCTTTGGTGTATCTGGATTGACGTATTGCCAGATCTTGTGATCCTTCGCGAAGTCTCTGCAGAGAAAGATCCAGTTGAACCAGTCATCTGGTGTATTAAGGACAGACTCCGCAACAATCAATCGATTGACATGATTGATTCCTATATAGGTTAAAGAATTACTTCATTAGGCAGCCTTTAACCTAGATAGGAATCAATCATGCCGATCCGATTGATTGTTGCGGAGTCTGATTAAGGATAACAGTAACTCGAGTTACTGCTGATCCTGTAGCCATTGTGTGCGTAGAACAGACGTAGCAATCGTGCGTTATAGTGGACGCGGGGTAATCGAGCGCTGTGGTGGACGCGGGGTAATCGTGCGGCTATGAGGGGCCTAGTAATCGTGCGCTATGAGGGACGCGGTAATCGGGAAATGAGTACAATCAGGATGCAGCCGGGCTCATAACTGTTGGAGTGGGTGAACCGTACGCATAGGGAAGAAGTTGAGGATTGACTGAGGTTGTATTGTACAAGCTATGGAAAGTTTATGTAGGTGAGTGACCATAAACAGCGCTAGTCTCAGATAGGCATCGTCCCATCACCAAACCGTGACAGCCTGGGCCTCGCTCGCAGTATCGCCAACAGTAGGCGCGTTTGATAGCGATGGTAGAGGAGAATTGCGCTTGTCGCATTCTACAAGGCGGCGAAGGCCTGAATTAGAGGGAGTAGACATGAGTACACAGAATCTTATGCACAGTAGTCTAGCGTCGTGTGTATAGCAGACGCGACGCGACGCGACGCGAAAGGCTTACTAGGTGCGCACCGGGTAGCGCATTTCCGCAAACTCTAATTAGCTTAAAGCTAGATGCTTTAACTTATATAGGATTAGTGTCTTTATATCTAGGACTAGCGCGGCTTCGAAGCCGCACTAAATGTGGCTTTCACAACTCTAAAATACTGCTTTAAAAACAGCTAACGTCAGTCTAACGTCAGTCAGTTCAGTCAGTCTGGAGGCTTCTGAACTGACTGGACTGACGTCCAGCTGCCTCAAGAACTGACTGACTGAACTGAGTCTTGGCAGTCAGTTCAGTCAGTTCGAACTGAGTTACCTGACTGATAGCAAGTCTGGCTACTCATGTATATAATCGCTTCATGTAGCTCTCTCAATACAACAACCTTCTTCCTCATGTCTGCATGGTCCTTCCACATCTGACACACTACTTCGTCCATTCAGAAAATTGCACAAGGGTCGACAGGACTGGAACTTTGCTACCCTCTCCCCTGGAGGAGTACTTGTATCGATCTCGTCTGCAGCGTTCCCTTACCGCCTCGCAATGCTCTTAGTTGCAGGACTTGAATACCAGTTTACAAACCTGAAGACTGACCCTGAGGAGGTTCAACCCCTTGTTGCGTGGTCCTTGAATAAACTCCATACAGCGGTACATAGCAAGTATGGCTCTGAAGTAGCCGATTGGTTTAGCAAGGCTGCAAAAATTGGAGAATGGTGGCTTCAGGAACAAGACCGCCTGTGGAATGTTCGCCGCAAGTAGCTAGCGATAAGGATATGAAACAGAGAGAATAAACGGGGTGCAATCACTAAGGGGTTTTGTTTTAATTTGGCTAAGGGGCACATGGGAAGATTCTACGCGGTATGATTTTCTCCTAAGATCATCTGTTGAATAACAAAAAGGCGGACCTTCTTGCTACAATAGCATGAAGGTATATATAGTTGATAGTCTGACATCATCAACTGATCTGTAGCATATGCATGTCTACTTGCGAAACTTCGAGACCAATTCCGATCAATCTAAGGCACAGCGTTCAATGATTTGCGACCGAGCCCCATCTTCGCTACCAATGCATCAGCTATGCTATGCGCAAAGGTCTCGTTATTGATAGCGTCCTCTTTTTCAACAACCTCAATACTGCTATCCCCAAGTCCTTCTCTGATTGCACTAAAAATTGCGGCGTCTGCTTCTGCGTCTTCGAAAGGCCCGCCAGGCGTCGCAATCATGCTTATGCCCCCTTTAGGCAAGAACACTTGGATCTTGTTTGGATCCTTTGCATGGCTCTTCAACTTCCCCGCAATAAATCCTCCAACTTGTGCCGCTTCCTCGGTCGAGGTTCTCATCAATGTCACCACCGGGTTATGCTCGTACAGCTTTCGGTCTTTGTACTTCTCCGGCACGGTATCAATGGGACCGAAGTTGGTCATATCCGTCGCGCCCACAGACACAATGTTCGGCAGACCAGCTCTCGCTGCAGCCTCTAAGCGACGCTCACCAGCGCTCATCACGCCACCAGTGATGTGATCACAGATCTCTGTTGTCGT